TGAGGAAGGGTCACCGGACCCGAAACGTCAACTCTGTTTTCTCCTCCACAGATGCTGTCAGACCTGCTGAGCTTTTCCAGCAACTTTTTGTTTTTGTTCCTGATTTACAGCATCCGCAGTTCTTTTCGTTTTTATCTGTCTTCTGCTATTTTTCTAGTGAACAAAGCTTGGGGATTTTTGCTGCAAATATGAGAGCTTCAGAGTAATAAGGACTCCAAGCTGCTACGGCAATATATACTTTTACATTCATATTGTAGCCTGGTGCTATGGATGACCATTGTAAAGACTTCAATTGCTTTCCATCACATGGCTGACCGAGAATTTCTGCTGCTGTTACTGCTTGTCATTTTTTTTCTTTTCTCATTCATAAGATGTTGGTGTTATTGGTCAAGCCAATATTTATTGCCCATCCCTAATTGCTGTTAAGGTGATGGTGAGCTATGTTCTTTAAGCTTTGCAGTCCTTAGGGTGCAGGGGGACGCAGTTCTGTCAGCCAGTGAGTAGCAGAATCTTTGACCCAGTGACAGTGAAACAGCAACAATACAATTCAATCAAGTTGGTGTGTGGCTTGGAGGGGAATTTGAAAGGGATGGTGTTCCCAAGCATCTGCTGCCTTTGTCCTTCTAAATGGTAAACATCACCGGTTTAGAAAGCACACAAAGTAGTTTTGGTGAGTTATTGCATTGCATCTCTTAGATGGTACACATTGCCACTGTGTGCCAGTGGCGAAGGAAGCAAATGTTGAAGATAATGAATAGGTTGCCAATCAAGCAAGGTGCTTTTGTCCTGGATGATATTGAGCTTCTTGAGTGTTATTGGAGCTGCACTCATGCAGGCAAGAAGGGAGTATTCCGTCACACTCCTGACTTATGCTTTGTAGATGGTGGACAGGCTTTGGAGAATCAAGAAGTAAGGTACTTGCTGGAGAATGTTCAGCCCCTGACCTGCTCTTGCAGCTGCAGTATTTGTATGGCTATTTTAGCTTGAGTTATTTGTCAGTGGTAACCCCTGGGATACTGGCATTTATGATATTTAACAGTAAGTCAGTGTAAAACATCAGCAGAGGGGCTTCATTTTATCCCCTCACTAGCCGATCAGTGTTAAGCCTATTATTTTCTCCCTAATGTACTTACCATTGACTGATCATTGATTCTGAGCTTAACACACTTCCATCAGGGGAGCAGTATGATATTATGATTGGTTAAAAACATGCTTGAGCCAGAATGTTTGCCACATGAGAATGTTGATTAAGTTAGTTATATTCATTGTTATCTTCATATTTCAGATGCATCCAGAGTAGAATACAACACAATGAGAGAAGGTCTACCAGAGGTATGATTGCAACATAAATTTTAGAAGACAGAACATTGTGAAATTCTTTATAGATGCAAGAACTGCTTGTATAATATTTGCTCTGACTTTTTGACTCAAGTTTCAGGAGGACAGTAGTGAAGAAGAATTTTGTGATGTCGATCTTTCAGAATTTGGTATAGAGCTGTCTGTCTCTGAGAGTGATGTTAGCTTCAGTTCCCAGCAGTTTTTAATTTTGGATGAGTCAGCAGCTAGCAGTCACACATCCTCCCAGCTGTAAGTGGCCTAAAAATGTAAATGTATGTTACAGTAAAGTATTTCAAGTTTTATATATACAATCTTAATAGAGCAATCATCAGGGGCATAGTGGTAATATCACTGGACTAGTAATACAGAACCCTGGCTGATGTTGTCTTATAACTGTCCTCTTGGCAATTTGGGATGGACAATAAATGCTGGCCTAACCAGATGCCCGCATCTAATGGACAAAAAAAATTAAACATGTAACCTAAACCTTAATGCAATTAATAATCTTAAATTAATAACTTTAAATCATGTTTTTTTAATTCTCTCATGGGATGTGGGCATCACTGGCTGGCCAGCATTTATTGCCCATCCGTAGTTGCCCTTGAGAAGGTGGTGGTGCACTGCTGCCTTGAACCACTGCAGTCCACCTTCTGTAGGTAGACCCACAATGCCATAAGGGAGGGAATGCACTGGATTTTGACCCAGTGACACTGAAGAAACAGCAATATATTTCCAAATCAGGACGGTGAGTGGCTTGGAGGGGAGCTTGCAGGTGATGGTATTTCCATGTAACTGCTGCCCTTGTCCTTTTAATTGGAAGGTGCTGTCTAGGGATGTTTGGTGAATTTCTGCAGTAATAGTAATACAAGATTGTAATAGTCTTCCATGTCTTAAGAACAAATACAGTTAATTTTGTGATCTGTGATTAAGAAGGTTGTATTCAGGTCTAAGTTAGATTCTGATTACCCCTCAGTTACAGACTTGTTCTTGCTCTTCCTGGATGCAAGGTTAATATTACAGATTGCCATATAATTCGGTAACTTTTATTGGGTGTGCACATTAGTAGTGGAATTTTTCACAGACATTGAGCAGAAAGAAATGTAAGAAGTAAACAAATGACCAATCCAACTTATTTACCAGTGATACAATTGGTGAGTGATGTCCAGTATTTACAAGTACAGCCATAAAATGAATGAAAACAGGGTCACGATCCCAGCTGATGGTAATACTGGAAAAGCCAGAATTAAACCTGGCTTAATAGAACAGATAAAAACCGAACAAACTGTGGATGCTGTAAATCAGGAACAAAAACAAAGTTGCTGGAGAAGCTCAGCAGGTCTGGCAGCATCTGTGAAGGAAAAAACAGAGTTAACGTTTCGGGTCCGGTGACCCTTGCTCAGAACTGATGTTTAGTCTTTTTTTTAGTTAATTAGCATAGTGTTTTGACACAAACATATTCACATGAGCCTATAGATGTTCTTCAATACCAACGTGAGTTTATTACACTAAATAAATAAAGCTATATACACATAGCGAAGAGATAGAAAGATCTTAACATAAATATCAAAACAAAATTTCAACTGATTTTTTCCAATATGAGACTCAATCCCAGGGAAATTTCTCCCCTTTCTCAGCTTCTTAAATCTGTACTTAACTGACCCTCCCCAGTTTTTTTTTGATGGAACTGTGAAACTTCCTTTTGAGTAAACAGGGATGCACCTCTCTCAATTCTGATTTCCTAAACTACTGTAGTTCTAACAACTTGAAAACTTCCATCCAACTCTCCTGGCCTGGAAGCTCCACAGACTCGAAATCACTTCTGTGGAGGTGACTGATTCCCTTAATCAGAACTGAAAAAAAAACTGGATCTGTTCCTAGGAGAAAATGTTCTATTCTGAGCTGAATTTTGGGTTCTTGTATGCTGAGAACTTGAACCTTCTGTTCTGAAGTAAAAATGAAACTAATTGCCTTAATGTATTTACACTGCCTGTCACAAACCTCACAGTCTAAATCTTTTATCTGTTAGCACTATAGGGGTTTTCTTAGGCAGTTGACTGAAGTCCCGTTCCTTTTTTAAAATGATATATTTAGAGCACTGTCCAGATGATTTTCTGACCTTTTTCTTAAAACAAAAAACCTTCACAGTACTAACCAAAACTTATCTGCCCTGCCTTTAAAGCCAAATCCCCAAATATAAAGTGCATATTACACAAGTTTATCACAATAGTTTGTACACAGTTCTTTTGATATTGAAACAAAAGTGACATGTTAGAAACACTCAGGAGTTCAAGCAGAACTTGAGAGAATGGACAGGTGATGTTTCAAGTGTGGACTCTTCATTGAAATGAGCAATTTCTGTCTTGTTTCAAATTTCCAGTATCTACAGATATTTTTGTTTCTGCATCTGTTATCAATATTATTGTATCTAGTGAAACGTACCATTTAAAATACATGTTCTGAAGTAAAGCAAGAGGACTGTAGAATGATGGGCGCATTAAGTGTGACATGTATTCATGCCCGTGACTCGCTGATTTGCTAACTTGATTGCTTGGCCAAGATGCTACAAAAGATGCAGAGTTCAGGTCAATGGTTCCCAAAGTAGAGAATCCAATTTCATGGGCAAACTCATTAACAGGTGGCTGTCAAGTACTTTCTCATTCCTGGCTCCGATTTGTTTGCCTCTTAGCTGCAGTTGGTACATATCCTGGCAAAATGAATAAAAGTGAAAGGAGAGAAATAATTCTGGGTACTGTCTGCTACAAACATGAGGGACAGTTCAAAATTGGTTTGGGTCAATGATTTTCAAAGTTGCACCTTTCCAGTCTCAGGTTGGCTCAGTGATTGAAAAGACAGAGGGTTAGAGACAAATCAAATCGAAAACGTATTCATGAGAAGGAGCACATTGAAGAAGTTAGATGAGGAACTGCACATGGCTTTTGTGCATATGTTGCCAATCAATTTGCAGCAGCTTTGGCAGTGATACATGGTACATAAAGAATTTAAAGGAGAACATCTGTTGAAAAAGATAAGCAACTTAGATAAGACATAATATCAGTTATTTTAATTCACGTTGTATTGAATGTTCTTTTTAGTATAGTTACCATTCTAGTCTGTTTATCAGATCCACAAGTACAGACCAGGATCAGATTTCAGCTCAAAGGAATTGGAAAAGGACAGTGCTGCTCATGTGGAAGGAGATAGCCAGCCACAGGTCAGAATGAAAACAAAACAGAAAAATAAATCAGAGTATGTTACAATTAATCTCGTAAGACTGAGATCCCTGGGATGTACATTTTTAAAAATCACCATGATAACAGACACTGTAGTAAATGTCCAGAGCTCATGGCCTGGCTGAATTCCAGCTGATTTTCACTTTGCCAGCATTTGTTAACAGCTGCCCATTTTTCCACTTTCCTTTAGGCTGTTTCCTGTTTTTCCATTTACTTTGTTTTTGCCTGGCATTTCCTTCATTTCATCTTCCCAGCATTGACGTTTGGAGCCTTGACAAAATCTGAAGCACTATTTGTCCCCATATGTTGTCACTTACTGTTAACTGAGCACATGCTTTGAGCTGCTGGCCAGACTTTCTGTACTCCCCATTAGGCTAAGTCCTGGCAGAAGGGCAAAGCTGCAATGGAAGATTGTGCTCGTTAACTAAAGGAATTATGCCACTGACGGCACTGAATTCAGTTCATTCATGTAAGAGCAAAATACGTGGATGCTGAAATCTAAAACGATAAGAGTTCTGGAGAAACTCTGGTATTGCAGCATCTGTGCAGTTAGCGTTTTTGTGTTCAATGTGGCCTTGGATTTGAATCATTAACACTGCTGGGTTTCTCCAAGACTTTGCTTATTTTGGTGCATTTATGACTAGTTTTGCTCTAGTTATCATTTGTAGCTCAGTTTTGCCAGCATGGAAAATCACATTGTGATGGAGATGCATACATTGTCTTTGCCCACCTTGGCAGCTCAAACACTCACGTGCAGAGGTGCACAAGCAAAAGAATCTAAATTGCATTATTTTGTTGAGAATTTGTGGTGAATGAAAAGAGCTCAAAGAGAGTGGTAAAAAGCATAAAAATTTATAGAATTACCATGTTGAAATTGGTTGATGCCTCATCAGGATTTTGAAAGGAATGGACTAAGTTTTTCAGAGTTTGTAAAATGAGAATGCGTTAGAAAAGACAGTAATGCTCTGACTGTTCATCTTAATATCAAATATGTAGGTCAACAGATGAACTGTAAATTGGCACATCAGAGCTTCGAGCAAGGAAAGGATATTTACAACCTTTAAAATAAAGATATGAAAGACATCTGCCCAAGGGATCTGAGGAGAAGAGTGCCGTGATGGTTTTGCTGTTCAGAGTAGGAGTCTGTAGTTGTCGAGCCATTGAGTTGGAAGGGGTGTTTCATACTCTGTCACGTTAGCAATTTTTCTGTTGACAAGTGGAAATATCAGTGAAGGTCATTTTGTTTTTCAATGGAGCAGAGATGGTTAACTGTTTCACAGACTAATGGGGAGCATGGTGCCTGCTCTGGAAGCATTTATAATGATGATCAGAGATGGGCAGTGATTGGGAGGAGTTCCTCGACCGCATTTCTCTCAAAATGAGTGCATTATTGGTATTAAGAATTAGTATTTCAACTCAAAAATTAACATTGCAGCACACAATATTCATAGAGGTCACATCAGACTTTTTGTTTGACATTAAAGCTATTGCTGGTTGTGCAGAGGAATCTTCAGTTGGTTTAGATCAGTCAAACGTCAATGGAGCCCCAAGCTGCATAATATTAAATTGTGTATTATTAGAGTTGTATGTGACTGAAACTTGTGATAAAAGACGGAGTGCCCTAAATAGGGAAATTCTATTTTAAAAGCATCAAACAAGCATCACAGGCCATTGTATGGTAATCTCTGTAAGGATGCTGACAAATGTCAAGACATTAATTTTACTTTTTATAATTGTGGATCTCATGATAAGGTAGAAGATAATCAATTTTATGAAGATGGTAAATATCGCACGCATGTAACAAAGATTGCATTCATTTGTTTGTGAGCAGTTGTGTAAGGTGACCTGCCCCTTTAGGTACTAGTTTTATAAATTTTATAAGGATAATGTACAAAATCTGTGTGCACTGCCTGTCTACAACTGCAGGAAATCTACAAAATATGTTATTAAAAATCTGAGATCTTCCAACATCCTCTGTCCACTCTTTTCTCAATTTCCAATATTCCTATTTGTAGAGGGAAGCTACTTTCTATAAATATATATTTACGCTCTTCTTTCCTTATGATGTCATTACTGACAAGTGTATAAATACGGAATGCAAGTTTACAGGTACCATTAAATTGCAGATGTTAGGACTTAATAATGAAAATATAAATAAGGGCAGAATACATGACTTTAAAATGACAACCAAATTATGTCTGGCCTACCCTCCACTCAAACTTTGAATTTGGAAAATTGCCTTTATTCAGAGAGAAGGGGAGAGTAGAAGATGCAGCGAAAAAGAGAAAATCAGACTGAGACATACAGTAAGGAAGAGAATGAGTAACATCATACATCCTTCATATTACCTGTTCTGGGTTTCTGGTGGAACAGTCCTAACTTCCTAAAGTTATGTATTTTCTGATTTATATGAGCATTTTACAAGTAACGCAAGACCTTAATCAAACTGTTGATTCTGCATTCTAGATCAAAAGATATGAGAACAGGTATTTTTGCAGCAATGTATTCACTGTGCTAATCATCTCTGGAATTGCAGATTTGCTAGCCTGTTTTTGAACCCAGTAACTGAGGAACGTGTTCCTGGATATCACAGCCGAGTGCACAGGTAAGGAGCGTCAGGACAGGGTAATACACCTGAACCATATATTAAGAAAATTAAAAGAATGGAATAGGAAAGCTTGAATTAGTCCAGTAACCAGGTTCATTTGACAGACCCAGTATGGTTTGTTTTTTATTACTGTTTTTACATCCATTTATTTCAACACCTCAGGAAAATTTGAACCTCACTTACTAAGGAATGTCAACCTTCCTATTTAAATGGTTCCATTACTCTGGGTTAGGAATATGGGAAGTAGGAACCAGGAGTACACTATTCAGCTGTTACAGCCTCCTCTGGCATTCAACTAGATTGTAGTTAACTACCTCAATGCCAGTTTCCCCACACTATCACCATATTTTTGATATCTTTAATATCTAGAAATCTATCAATCTTTGTTTTGGACACACTCAGTAACTTTATTTCTACAGCCTATGTGGTAGAGAATCCCAAACCACCCTCAGAGAGATAAAATTCCTCCTCATCTCAATGTGAAATGGCATCCCTCTTATTCTGAGACTATGTCCCCTGGTTCTGGACCTTCCCAGCTAGGGAAAAATCCTTTCTGTTGAGCTCTGTTTGAATTCTGTGATCTTTAGTGAGATCCCCTCTCAGAATTCTAAACTCTAGAGAATACAGGCCCAGTTTGCTCCATGTCTGCTCATAGGATAATCTTGCCGTCCCAGGGATCAGTCTGGTGAACCATAATTTTGCCCCCTTTATGGCAAGTGTAAGTTGACAAAACTGTGTATAAAACTCCAGCTGCGGTTTCACCCAGGCTTTACAATTGCAGCAAGACATCTTTGTTCCAGTACACTTATCCTTTGGCAATAAAAGCTAACATCATTTGCTAGTTGTTTGCTGCACCTGTATGTGAGTTTTATAACTAATAAGCAAAGACAACCAGGTCACTGTGGACATTCACAGTACCCAATCTCTGTCTCCATTTAATGAATAATTTGCATTTCTATTCTTCCTAGTGTGTCGTGCCTTACTACTTGCTTTCCATGAATAATATCTACAGAGCCCAACAAGTACAGAAAATTTATTCTCAATATTTTTATATGTAGTTATCAATCAATAATTCTCCAATCAAGATGTTTCTAATATTACTGCATTATGACTATTGCTTGCTCAGACGATGCATAATCTACCCTTTAATGACCTATATTCCATGTCTTTGTAGCTCAGTTGTAAGCACCCTTGCCTCTGAAAACATGAGATCGTAGGTTCAATGCCCACACCAGCATAAAAATCAAGATAGATACTCTAATGCAATACAGAGGAAACGCTGCAGTTTTGGAGGTGCTGGCTTTCGGTTAAACCTGCTTGGGTAGATGTACAAAATCCCATGCACAGTAACAACCATTAATAAGAGACCAGCAAAAAGTAGTTTGACACACATTCTAGAACTGGAAACCCCTCCCAAACCATGTAATGTCAGCAGAGCCTTCATTGTCCCATCTCGACATAATGGTACTGACCCTCACAGCTTGTACATGGTTCCTTCCTTTGAAGCATAACTTTGAGAGTTGAAAAGGCTGCCACAGCCTCTGCAAAATCGCCCAATGATAGTTTAAATTTTAAGATTTTTCTGGAAACAAATGGTTTTACTTGATGCACACCTTCCACTAGGCAAGCATGAAATTCCCAGAATAAATACAAAACGAACCATAAGCACCGCAGAAATTGCGCAGTTGTTCTGGAAAAGGTGGTAATTGTTCTGGGGGAACCAAACTAATACTAGGACTATGGCCAAAGCTTGTCTTTCTTTTAAAAGTTCCTTCTGTTTGATGTAATTATCTTCCTTCTCTCTTCAAGTTATGTAATGCATGAATCCTAAACTGGCTGATGTCTGCTCCAAATAATGATTGCGTGAGAAGCTTTTGCTCTCCCGTTTCTATCTCTCACACACATTTCCATCTCACACGTGCAAGTTTCACTTCAAGGAATGCTCCCGCTCAGCAGAGGAGCTTCAATTGTACATTTTGTAGCAAGGGAAATCAATTGACTGAATAGGTCAACAAAAAAGTTAACTTCAAATGTTGAACAGTTTCAAAGATGTCATGATAGTTTGTATTGTTCATTTACCTTCCTGTTGGGATGATGTGGCGGTGCTGGTGTTGGACTGGGTTGGACAAGGTCAAAAATCACATGACACCAGGTTATAGTCCAACAGGTTTATTTGAACACACTAGCTTTCGGAGCGTTGCTCCTTTCTCAGGTGTAGCCTTCCTGTTAGGAGTTGTTTCTTGAAACGCTTTCATGTACCAGCACTCATCAGTTAACATCCTGTAGCTTGAGAGTGAGAGGGTCTGTGTGCAACATCACAAAACTTCCCTTGTTGTCAATAATTGTGCCGTTTAATACATCACCTGTGTTCATTGGTTATCTGTCATGCAACCATTTATCATTGCATCTGTTTATTACAGACCAATGGATTTGTCCAATATAAAGAGAAACATCAGAAAAGGACTGATTCGCACAACTGCTGAATTTCAGCGGGATATTATGCTAATGTTCCAGAATGCAGTGATGTACAACAGCTCTGATCATGATGTTTATCACAAAACTGTGGAAATGCAGCGAGATGTCTTGGAACAGATCCAGGTATAATATGTGGCCCTACTCCATAAGTATTCTTTATCAGGTTTCACTTATTTTGGAATTAAATTCAGGTACAGCATTTGGGTGTAATATGACTAGCCAATTGGAAGAACAAATTTGCCCTTGAGATATGAACACAGCAGACAGACTTGCCAGGCATGGTTGATTGATGGTACATTAAAATGTTTATTTTGTGATGTGTAAAATTGGGATTGCCAGTAGCTCATTCTATTTAACACCCTGTGGTGGTGTTTTTGTATATTTATCATGAGGCATTTTTGTTCCGAGGAGTATTTTCCTCTAAGGCTACAGGGGATTAGTATCAAACATGTCCAAATTAGATATCTATCAATACATTATATGCAACACCTCTATCCTTCTCAACAACATGTCTGAATTCTGACCTCAGAACAACATCCTCTTTGGAGCAGTGTAACATTTATCTGTTTCCATTCTTGTTTTTAATTGGGATGACCAGTTTAGGGCAGCAAGGTGATCATGAGATGTAGGAGCAGAAATAGGTCACTCAGCCTAAGTCTGCTGTGCCATTCCATGAGATCATGATTGATCTAATAATTCTCAACTCCACTTTCATGCTCTTCCCTGATTCTTTGATAATATTGCAACCACTTTTCTCCTCTGTTCCCCTCTCTAACTTGCCCTATAACCAGGAATGTTAGCTGTCTAATCTGCCCATCTTTTAGCCACATCTCAGTCATACCTATAATATCATATTCCTGCATGTCTGTCTGGTCCCTCAGGCTCCTTGCTTTAAAGTATACTTCATTTAGCCTTGCTTAACCCTCTTCTTTCTTATTTAAACTGTTTCCTCTGCCTTCCAGATTCATTGACTTGTGTCTTAACTTCTAATTCCATTTTAGCTTCTCTTCCTCTGAGCTACTTGTCAAGATCTCACTCCCTGCCAATCTGGTTTAAATCTGCCCTCACAGCATTAGCAAACCTCCCCATAATATTATTAATCCTGTTCCTGTTCAAATATAACCATTCAACTTGTACAGGTCCTAGCTCCTGCAGAAAGAGTTTTAGATTCATGAAGTAATGAAACTATCTCCTGCTGTACCCTTCTATTACAGAGCTTGCTACTGTTAATCTGGAGATTGCTACCTTTTGAAGTCCTGGTTTTCAATTTTCTACGTAGCTCCCCAAAGTCTACTGCAGGACCTTATTTCTGTTTCTTGTGTCATTGGTCCTAACATGGACGACCAGCTCTGCCTGCTCATCCTTCACCCTCAGAATGTCGTTAAGTTCTTCCATCTCATCCTTGACCCTGGCCCCTGGAGGTAACATACCATCCAGTTCAAATTCAAGTGTTTGAGGTCCATTTGCACAGGTCAATAAAACTTAGCTGACTGGTACAAAAGAAATAAAAATGCAAGTGGAATTTGTTACCTTTCTATGTAGAATGGAAATTTTGCTATAATTATACAGACAATATGTGGAGCAGTGTGTACAGTTCTGGACAGCATATCTTAGAAGGAATATTTGAACTTGAGTGCAGTTGAAGTCAACAGAATGCTTCCCAGGCTTCAAGGGTTAACTTAAAAGAGAGACCTCATAAACCTCATCAAAAAGCTAGCTTAGTTAATGATTTTAAATCTGAGGTTAATAACTTTTTTTAACAAGAAATTAAGGGATATGGAGCCAAATCAGCCATGATCTCTCAATAATGGAATAGGCTAAAGGAGTTGAGTGACTCATTGCTGTTCCCATGCATTTTCCAGGGTAGGGGAGTCCAAAACCAGGAGGCATAGGTTTAAGGTGAGAGGGGAAAGAATTAAAAGGGAGCTGAGGGCCAACTTTTTCACGCATAGGGTGGTGAATGTATGGAATGAGCTGCTAGAGAAGATGGTGGAGATTGGTACAATTAGAACATTTAAAAGACATCTGGATGGGTACATGACTAGGAAGGGTTTAGAGGGATATAGGCCAAATGATGGCAGATAGAACTAGATTAATTTAGGATACCTGGTCTGCATGGATCAGTTGGACTGAAGGGTCTGTTTTTGTGCCATACAACTCTGACTCTATGCATTATGACTGGATGTTGTGCTGTGACTGTCTATTACCCCATAGAATTTTAGATAACAGCTGATAACTGAACTCATAACCATTATGTGACTGCAGTATTTAATATTCACCACAAGATGACACTGAAGTAGTGTATTTGCCAAAGAATATCTTGCTCTAACGGGTCCATTATTCTCACCTCAGTGCCTGACTTTGACTTGAAACTGCATTTATATCTCTGTGTGATATCACAGGAGTTCAACTCGAACAATTTCATTCCCTAAAATCCCATTCCAATGGATATGAAAAATTTCCAATATGCTTCCTTACTAGTACAGAAATGGGAAATATGGAATCTTTTATCCTGCTTACTTCTGGAATGGGAAACAGTGCATAAGAAATCTTTTGCCTGACGCACTTTTTTTTAAGAATAGGTAATGTATTAGATTTTTTTGAAATGCAAAGGCATAGAGTGAGACAAGAAAGTAGAATTAAGTCCCCAACCCAGTCAGCCATCATCTTATTGAATGGCAAAGCAGGTTTGAAGGACTTAATGACCTATTCCTGTTCCTAAGTCCGATGTTCCTATGTCCAAGTTTCAAGTGTTTCCTTGCTTATTATACCCTTCCCTCAAAACATTTTCTCTTTGCCTGTTCCTTGATATTAATGGTTAACTGGTCAAAAGCTGTTGTGGAAATTTCCCTGATGAACTGATTTCAACCATGAATCAATTTATTCCTGATGAACAGAAGCCATGGTTTTACATTTTGGAAATAACTGAATCCATCCTGTTCAAACAGCAGGTTTGTTTTGGGGACAAGCAGCTTAGCTGTCAGAAACGGCTCTCTGAGGAAACAGTAGTGATTTACCTCAGTCACTTTCACAGTTACCTTTACTCTTGGCTAGTTGAAGTTGGAATAGAGCAAAGGGGCCCAAAAGGAGGGAAGATAAATGAGCAGAAATGTTAAATTAGAAGTTGGGCAAAAATTGAAAATGAAATGAGTACCACTCTCTTAATTACTTCCTGTCAATTTTGTGCCTGATCAAAGGAAATGGGATATAAAAATAGGGACGTCTTGCCAAAACTACACAAGGCACTAATCAGATCACCGCTAGAATACTATGAACAGTTTTGGTCCCCTTATCTAAGGAAAAACATACTGGCCTTGGACAAGTCCAGAGAAGATTCTAAGTTACGAGGAGAGGTTGAGTAGGTTAGGCCTGTACTCATCTGAGTTTAGAAGAATTTCGGGTAACCTTATTGAAGCATACAAGGTTGTCAGGGGATTTGACAGTAGATACAGAGCGGTTGCTTCCCCTTGTCTTGGATGAGTCTCGGACTAGAAGGCACAATCTCAGATTAAAGGGTTGCCCATTTAAGACGGAGATGAGGAATTTTTTTCTCTTAGGGACTTGACTTGAATCTATAGAATTCTTTACTGTAGAGGACTGTAGAGTCTGGGTCTTTAAGTGTATTCAAAGCTGAAATAGATTTTTAATTAGTAAAGGAATTGAAGGCTATGGGGAAAGGCTGGAAAATGGAGTTAATTATCAGATCAACCATGATCTTGTTGAATGACAGAGCAGACTCAATGGGCTAAATGACTGACTTCTGCTTCTACATTTTGTGGTCATATTGGAATGTGCTAAGACTCCACCTAATAATCATAAAGAAGCTCTCTTGATTTTATTCATCTGTGACTGTAATTCATCACTTTTACCTGTTGTAGGATATACTAGAAGCAGTGGAGTTGGGTGACTTTAACAAGAGCCTCAATGGATAAAAGCTTGCATCCAACAGGAAAATAAGGTATTGTATTTTGGCGATAGTATTTTCTGAAGAAGGGTCTAGGCCCGAAACATCAGCTTTCCTGCTCCTCTGATGCTGCTTGGCCTGCTGTGTTCATCCAGCTCTACACCTTGTTATCTCTATTGTATTTTGGCTCCAGTTTCATGTAAAACCATTTTCTTTTTGATGTTAGTTTATTAAGATTTCCTGCTCTTAGAATCTCTGGAGGAATGAGCATTTTTTTTTTTCGTAGCAAAAGCTTTTTTTAATATGGAATTGCAAACTAATTTTGTTTAAGAACTTTTCTTAAAAATAAAAGCAAATTCATAGTTTTTCGAAAAAAAAACCTGTGGAATTGAGACAGAGGAGCATCAGATTTATCAATGAGCCAGCTATCTTTATTTTTGTCTACAGTGACTGGGGGTTTTAAAGCTCTCTTTAAAGAGAACCTGTTGTCTTTATTAGTCCAGTAACACAATCTTGAGACTGAGACTTCAATCCATTTAAAATTTGAATTAAGTTTCATGAAAATAAAGCTGGTGTCATACAAATGACCCAACTGTTTCACTGTGTCTTCTAGGGAAAGATCCTGTGGCCTATATGTGACTTCAGTCTCTGACCAATATGGTTGGCTAGCAACTGTTCCTTGAAATGACCTAGCAAGTCACTATGTAACATCAAATTGCTGATAGCGGCTCAAAGAAGCGCCAGAAGTAACTAGTGATGGACAATAAGTGCTGGTGAACAATGCCCACATTCTGAGAATAAATTAATGTTGTTTCCTGACTTAATAATGGGCATAGTTGTATTATTATGGGAATATATCTTGTTTGTTTGAACTCACGTAAGATGTAAGCTTAAATTCCGCCCTTAAGAAAGGGAATTATTGGTTTCATGTCAGGCCTACTGGTGAGCAAATGATTGGGAAGGAATTCTGAAGCTGCATTGTTTTATCTCCTATGAATAGTGTTTTCATCCCAACTGAAGGTAGTACGGGACAGTTCTATTGACAGAATCAAATCTGGCTTAATAGATCATATGTTTAATTTTTGCCATTGGTGGTTAGTCATTGAAACACATCCAGCTGAGACTGCAAATGTTCTTCAAGAACATAAGTTTATTACACAAATAAACAAAGCTATAAAAAAGGGAAAGTTGAAAGATCTTCAAATAAATATTAAAATAAAGTTTCAACAATGGTTTCCATTTCCAGAGACGCGATCTCTGAGAAATAGCTCTCCTATCCCAGATTGCAAATCTTTACCTCCTACTTTCCAGTTTATTTTTGTTTTGCTGTTAAATCATTTTTAAATGATTCCTTTTCGAGTCAGCTGACATGAACCTTGAACAACTCTGGCTTAAACTTTCCCCCGTTCTAACCAACTTGAAGATTTCTATTCAAACTCTCCCAGCTTAAAAGCTTCTCAGACTAGAAACCACATCTGCTGAGGGAACTGGTTCTCCTGAATTGACATAATTCCCTTACTAGGCAAAACAATTACTTTCTGAACTGAACTCCTGTTCTTCTGAACTAAAGCGTTGAACTTTCTGATCTGAAGTCAAAACTAAATTCGTTGTCTTTAAATAAACTAACGTGACTTGTTTTCCTTTACAGTATTTTCCCTTTGGAGAAGATGGAAAATGAAAAGTTTTGTCTTTGGTTTCTCAATGCAGTATTAATGCAGTGTTTATAAGTTCAGTATAATGGTTGTAACTGTGGTAATATGTCATATGGGAGAAGGAACCATAATTTATTGTATACAAGTTGCTAAGCGCTGCAGGAATGCAGACTGCTATTCATTTTCAGAGGCACGTTCCTCGCCACAAGGAGGAAAAAATGTGCTTTTGACTTTTTTCAATAAATGTTTGTTGTAGTTCCAGTGTTCAGTTCAATTTCCTAAAGTTTATTGACTGGCTGCCTCTCAGTTGTGTGTACTTCATACTTGGATTTTTTGAATAAAATCTAATAACACAATTCCACTTTGCTCAAAATGCAAGTTATTTCAATCTTTTATTGTTTCTTCCTCACTCCTCAAAATAGTTGGTCTGTTGGTGCTTGAAAAAAACTTTCAATAATCTCCCTTACTGCAAGGAAAATTATGACATGATTTTTTAAAATTTAATTCATGGGATGTGAATGTTGCTGATCAGAGCAGTATTTATTGCTTGTCCCAAGGGCAGTTAAAGAACAAAGAAAATTACAGCACAGGAACAGGCTCTTCAGCCCTCCAAGCCTGCGCCGATCCAGATCCTCTATCTAAACCTGTCGCCTATTTTCCAAGGATCTGTATCCCTCTGCTCCCTGCCCATTCATGTATCTAGACAGATACATCTTAAATGATGCTATCGTGCCCACCTCTACCACCTCCGCTGGCAATGCATTCCAGGCACCCACCACCTTCTGCGTAAAGAACTTACCATGCCTATCTCTCTCAAACTTTTCCCCTCCCACCTTGAAATCGTGACCGCTAGTAATTGAGTCCCCCACTCTGGGGGAAAAAGCTTTTTGCTATCCACCCTGTCTATACCTCTCATGATTTTGTAGACCTCAATCAGGTCCCCCCTCAACCTCCGTCTTTCTAATGTAAATAATCCTAATCTACTCAACCTCTCTTCATAGCTAGCGCCCTTCATAGCTAGCGCCCTTCATACCAGGCAAAATCCTGGTGAACCTCCTCTGCACCCTTTCCAAAGCATCCACATCCTTTTGGTAATGTGGCGACCAGAACTGTACGCAGTATTCCAAATGTGGTTGAACCAAAGTCTTATACAAATAACATGACCTGCCAACTCTTGTACTCAATCCCCCGTCTGATGAATGAAAGCATGCCGTATGCCTTCTTGACCACTCTGTCGACCTGCGTTACCACCTTCAAGGTACAATGGACCTGAATGTCCAGATCTCTCTGTGCATCAATTTTCCCCAGGGCTTTTCCATTTACCGTTAAGAATCAACCATATTGTTGTGGGTCTGGAGTCGCATGTAGACGAGACCAGGTAAGGATGGTAGTTTCCTTCCCTAAAGGACACTAGCGAACCAGATGGGTTTTTCCAACAAGCAACAATAGTTTCATGGTCATCATTAGACTTTCAATCCCAGATTTCCATTGGATTCAATTTCCATCATTGGATTCAATTTCCATCATGGGATTTGAACCCGAGTCTGCAGGACATTACCTGGGGCATCTGGATTGATAGTCTAGTGATAAGACTCTCTGCCATTGCCTCCACCAAATTAATGGTAATGTCAGTGGCCTACTAATCCAGATACTCAGAACTACTGCTCTGGGGGCGTAGGTTCAAATTCCAATAAAACGGCTTGTGTAACTAGAACTCAATTAACAAACCTAAAAAATGAAGCAAATCTCATGGGGACTGGACAACTATCATTCTTGTAAAAATACATCTGATTCGCTGAAGTCCTTCAGGGAAAGAAATCTGCCGTCCTTACTTTGTGCAGACCCACAGCAATGTAGTTGGCTCTTAACTGCCTTTTGAACAAACCACTCAGTTCAAGGCCAATTAAGGATGACTATCAAATGCTGCCCTTCTCTGTAACACCCACATGGAAACATAGAAGATAGGAGCAGGAGGAGGCCATTCGGCCGTTGACTTTTTTAAAAGATCGAAGTCGTTCTGATTTAATATTAGAATCCATCTGTTACATTTCTGCCTATGAGACCATAGGATATCGGAGCAGAATTAGGCCATTTGGACCATTAAATCTGCTCTGCTATTCGATCATGGCTGATAAGTTTCGCAACTCCATTCTGCTGCCTTCTCCCCTTAATGCTTGGCCCTTTACCAATCAAGAACCTATGTATCTCTCTCTTAAATATACTCAATCACTTGGCTTCCACAGCCCTCCATGGCAATAAGTTCCACAGACTTGCTATCCTCTGGCTGAAGAAATGCTTCCTCATCTCAGGGTTATCCCTTCACTCAGTCTGTGCCCTGAGGTCCTAGTCTCATACTCATGGAAACATCTTCTCCATGTCCACTCTATCCAGGCCTTTCAGTATTCTGGAACTTTTAATCAGAGCTCCCTTCATCCGAAACTCCACTGAGTACTGACCCAGAGTCTTCATGTGATAAGTCCTTCATCCCCAGGAGTATTCTTGTAAAACTCCTCTGGACCTCCTCTCAAGGTTAGCACATCCATCCTTAAATATGGGACCCAAAACTCTCAATATTCCAAATGTGGTCTGACTAGACCCTCAGCAGTACATTTCTGCTCTTGTATTCTCTTGAAATGAATGCTAACATTGTATTTGCCTTCCTAATGGCCAATAGAACCTGCATGTTGACCTCAAGAGAATTCTGAACTTGGACTCCCAAGTCCCTTTGTGCTCCAGATTTCTGAAGCCTTTCCCGTTTAGAAGATAGTCTACTCTATTACATGTCCCTCCACCTATCTTTGTATCATCTGCAAAATTAGCAATAATGCCCTCAGTTCCTTCATATAAACTGCTGAACTCCATTCCATCACCAGCTGCCATTATGAAAAAACTCCATTCTATTCTCATTCCATAACACTTGTCTCTCTTATTGAATTGTTAAAAAGAGCCACAATGTACTCTTTAATGAAAACATTTTCAAAACACATAATAAATGAAACCTGTAATCAATGTCATAAAGTAATATCACAGAGAGATTTCTCATCAATGCCAAAGAACCATAGAGCTTTATAGCACAGAAAAGGCCCTTTGGCCTATTGGGTCTGTACTGGTCAGAAACAAGCACCTAACTATTTTGAGAGATAGCAGAGAAGATACTCATGAATAGCGATAACAGCAGTCCTTGGGTGAAAGTGTTAAATTGGGGGAAGACAAACTACAACAATATTAGGCAGGAACTGGAGAATGTTGATTGGAGGCAGCTGTTTGAGGGTAAATCCACATTGGACATGTGGGCGTATTTCAAACGGCAGTTGATAAGCGTTTAGGAGTAGCACGTTCCTGTAAGAATGAAGGGTAGATATCGCAAGTTACATGAACCTTGGATGACCAGGGATGTTATGACGTCAGAAAGAAAAAGGAAGCATACGTAAAGTCTAGGAGGATGGAACTGATGAAGTCGTTGAAGTATATAAGGAAAGTAGGAAAGAACTTAAACAAGGAATCAGAAGGGCTAAAAGGGGTCATGGAAAGTCATCAGTAAGCAGGATTAGGGAGAATCTCAAGGCTTTATAAATACATAAAGCAAGAGAGTAGCCAGGGAAAGGGTTAACCCACACAAGAACAAAGGAGGGAACCTATGTGTGGAGTCAGAAGAGGTAGGTGAGGTCCTAAATGAATACTTTATGTCAGTATTCACCAAAGAGAAGAAATTGGTGAAGGATGATCTCAGGAAAGGGAGTGTCAAGTTTCTAAGCCAAGTTGCTATTAAAAAGGAACAAGGTGTTGTGCGTCTTAAAATGTATTAAGGTAGGCAAGTCCTTGGGTCCTAATGGGATCTATCTCAGAATATTGAGGAAGGCAAGAGAACAACTTACTGGATCATTGACAGACATCTTTGTATCCTCTTTGGCCACAGGTGAGGTCCCAGAGGACTGCAGAATAGCCAATGTTGTCCCATTGTTTAAGAAGGGTATCAGGGATAATCTTGGAAATTACAGGCCAGTGACTTTCACGCTGGTGATAGGGAAATTATTGGAAAAGATTCTTAGGGACGAGATCTAGAAGCATTTAGAAGCAAGTGGATTTATTAGCGATAGACAGCATGGTTTTGAATGCAAGAAATCATGGCTCACTAACTTGATCGAGTTTTTTGAGGAAGTGACAAAGATAATTGATGAGGAAAAAGTGGATTGATGTTGTCTACATGGACTATAGTAAAGCCTTTGACAAGGTCCCTCATGACGGACTGGTACAAAAGGTGAAGTCACATGATATCAGGGGTGAGCTTGCAAGATAGATACAGAACTGGCTTAGTCATTGGAGACAGAGGGTAGTGGTGGAAGGATGTTTTTCGGAATGGAAGGTGTGACTAGTGGTGTTCCATGGGGATCAGTGCTAGGACCTCTGCTTGTTATCTTCATAAATGATTTGGAGGAAAATGTAGCAAGTCTAATTAGTAAGTTTGCGGATGGTACAAAGATTGATGGATTTGTGGATAGTGAGGAGGATTGTCAGAGGATACAGCAGTATATAAATTAGTTGGAGGCATGGGCATAAAAATGGCAGATGGGGGTTAATCTGGACAAATGTGAGGTAATGCATTTTAGAAGTTCAAGTACAGGTGGAAAATATACAGTGAATGGCAGAATCCTGAGGAGTATTGGTATGCAGAGCGATCTGGGTGTACAAGTCCACAGATCACTGAAGATGGCAGCTCAGGTAGATAAGATACTAAAAAAGGCTCATGGCATGCTTGCCTTCATTGGATGGGTCACTGAGTATAAGGATAGACAAGTTATGCCGCAGCTTTATAGAACTTTAGTTAGGCCACACTTGGAATATTGTGCACAGTTCTGGTCACCACACTGCCAGAAGGATGTGGATGCTTTGGAAAGGGTACAGAAATGGTTTACCAGGATGTTGCCTACTATAGGGGATTTTAGCTGTGAAGAAATGTTGGCTAGGCTGGGTTTGTTTTCACTGGAATGCAGGAGGTTGAGGGGTGACCTGATAGAGGTTTATAAGATTGTGAATGGCATGGATAGAGTGGAATATATGAGGCATTTTTCCAAGGGTGGAGGGGTCAATTACTAGGGGGCACAGGTTCAAGGTGGGAGGGGGGGGAAGTTTAAAAGAGATGTGCGAGGCAAGTTTTTCAAACAAAGGTGGTGAATGCCTGCAACGTGCTGCCAGAGGAGATGGTGGAAGCAGACAACAGCACCTGGATGAAAAATGAATAGGAAGGGAGAGGGATACGGGTCTAGGCCCGAAACGTCAGCCTTCCTGCTCCTCTGATGCTGCTTGGTCTGCTGTGTTCATCCAGCTCTACACCTTGTTATCTCAGATTCTCCAGCATCTGCAGTTCCTACTATTCTCATGGCAACGACAGCCCACTTCCGGGCAGTGACGTCATATAGACACCGCCCCCAACTGGTCTGTCGATCAAACCGGCAACGGTCACCGTGGCAACGGGATACCTTACGCTTTCAGGATGGAAATTGCTGGAAATAACCGAGTTTACAGAGGTCTGTTGTTTTCCTTAGAGCTGAGAAAATTGAGAGGGGACATGATTAAGATGCACATTATTATTATGGACATAGGATAGGAAGAAACTTTGCCTTTGGTGGTGGGATTAATGACCAGGGGCATCGATTTGAGGAAAGGCGCAGGAGGTTTGGGGGAGATGTGAGGAAATGAAAATCCCTCAGAAGGCGATGGGAAATCTGGAACTCACTGTCGGTAAGCGTGGAAGCGGCTGAAACCTTCATAATATTGAAAAAGAAGTTAGATGTGCACTTGCGAGGCCGGGGCATAAGTTGCTATGGACCAAGTGCTGGAAAATGAGATTGGAATGGTCAGGGATAACACAGTGTGGAGCTGGAGGAACACAGTAGGCCAGGCAGCATCAGAGCAGGAAAGTTGACGTTTCGGGTCGGAACCCTTCTTCAGAAATGTGAGGGGGAAAGGAGCTGGGAAATAAAAAGCAATACTGCAGTCAGAGAGAACATAGTGTGGAGCTGGGGGAACACAGCAGGCCATGCAGCATCAGAGGAGCAGGTAATAAAGAATAAAGAACAATACAGCACAGGAACAGGCCCTTTGGCCCTCCAAGCCTGTGCCACCACATTTTGCCCTTCCATGCTAATACTGTCTTCACTTACAGGATCCGTATCCCTCTATTCCCTTCCTATTCATTTTTCATCCAGGTGCTGTTGTCTGCTTCGACCATCTCCTCTGGCAGCACATTGCAGGCATTCACCACCTTTGAGTGAAAAACTTGCCTCGCACATCTCTTTTAAACTTCCCCCCCCTCCCACCTTGAACCTGTGCCCCCTAGTAATAAAGAATTTTCTGAAGAAGGGTCTAGGCCCGAAACGTCAGCCTTCCTGCTCCTCTGATGCTGCTTGGCCTGCTGTCTTCATCCAGCTCTACACCTTGTTTTCTGTCATTGCCATGGCAGCCCAGCCTGATGGCCAGGAATGGGGCGGGCTTCAGGCTTACGTCACTTCCCGGAAGTGGGCTGCCGTTGCCATGTGGTGACGGCGCTGCAGCGGAGACTGGGAGAGAATGAAGTCCCCCAAAGTGAAGAAGGAGAAGGCCGACAGGCCTCAGTACGAGGAGACGGAGAAAACCTACGAGGAGCTGGTGGCGAATGTGAACGACATCGCGCAGCCGCTGGCCTCCAGGAAACTGAGCAAGAAGCTGTACAAATGCGTGAAGAAAGGTAAAGATTTGGCGGGGAAGGGGTGTGGGGGAAGGTCTGGATCATCGAGCCCAGGCCCACGAACAAAACTGTTAATGCCTCTGCCGTAGGACTGTTAGCCCAGGGTCGTTGCACTACATATGGAGGTAATTCGGCCAATAGTGTCTGTGCTGGTCCTTTGAGGCTGTACTGCGCCCAGTGCCACTCTTTCCCCATACCGCCCCTGCACATTCCTCCTTTTCAGATAATCCAAATCCAGATGTAATTCGGCTCTGAAAGCTTTCACAGCTCTACAGCTCTACACCTCCCTTTATCTCCCTCTTTGTGTCTATCTCTTCTTCCTGTTCTTCTCTCTATCTCCCTCACACGTCCCCATCTCCCTCTCTGTCTGATCTGTACTTCTGCATAAAACCATACTCCTGTCACAAGTCAGTCTTGGTATAATTTGAAACAAAAACGGATGTTGCTGGAAAAGCTCAGCAAGTCCGGCAGCATCTGTGCAGAGAAATCAGAGTTAACGTTTCAGGCTCGGTGACCCTTCCTCAGAACTGACAGAAACTCTAACACTGATTTCTCTTCACAGATGCTGCCAGACCCGTTGAGCTTTTTCAAAAAATTCTGTTTTTGTTTCTGATTTACAGCATCTGCAGTTCTTTTGGTTTTTATTTGGAATAAGTTAAACTCACCATTTTTAAACAGGGAGAAAGAGCCTCAGACACCTCTGATCCTGAGAAAATGAAATAAATCTTATTAAAATTTTCCAGTACTAATAATATCTACTGTAACTCTGCTCTGAACCCTTTCCACTGCAAATGCACCCTTCCTGTAATGTAACCAGAACTGTACTGTAAATGTGGTCAAACTAATGTTATACATTAAAATCAGAAAGTCTGGAAATATTAAGCTCAAGCAATGGATTTTGTTTGGGATTTACCATCAATTATAATCTGTACAACAAACTGTATGAACTAATTATTTCAGCATGCCACAAGTAACTCGGACACCCTACAACTAATCCTCCTGACATGCAACTTCAATATTCAGCACAGCCATGGTGGACGACAACTTATTTTCCCTGGCTTGTGTATCCAAAACCTGGTGACGTGATCCCAGGATAAGCAGTAGATCACTTAAGACTTGTGTCAGGAGGAGCTTCTTCACTAAGAGGGTGGTGATTGTTTGAAATTCTCTAACCCAGAAGGCTGTGGAAACTGAATCATTGTTCGAGACAGAAATCAGTAGATTCAACAGACTAATGACATCAAGGTATATGGAGATTTTGTTTTTTCTTTATTGATTCACAGTATGAGGGGGTCAGTGGCCAGGCAGCAATTATTGCCCATCCCTAATTACCCAGAGGGCAGTTCAGAGACAACTACATTGCTGTGGGTATGGAGTCACATGTAGGCCAGACCAGGTAAGGATGGCAGTTTCCTTCCCTAAGGGACATTAGTGAACCAGATGGGTTTTTCCAACAATCAGCAATGGATTCACGGTCGTCATCAGATTCTTAATTCCAGATATTTTATTGAATTCAAATTCGACCATCTGCCATGGCAGGATTCAAACCCGGGTCCCCAGAACACTATCTGGGTCTCTGGATTAATAGGCCAGCGATAATACCACTAGGCCATTGCCTCCCTGTGTGAGATAGTGTGGGTAAGTGATATTGAGGTATATGATCAACGATTATCTAATTGAACGGCCTACACATGTGCCTATAATAGAAACGAAATACTGGAAATCTGGAAAAAAAAAGGAGAAACTGGAGTTTCCTGGAGAAACTGAGCAAGTCTGGCAGCACCTGTTGAGAGAGAAGCAGAGTTGAGGTTTCCAGTCCAGTGTGCCTGAAGAACTAAGGTGAAAATGTGGTAGGTTTTATGCTATTACAATAGAAGATATGGTCAGGGAGAACAAAAGGGCCACCGATATTGGCACACTGTTGTTATGTTTAGACTGCGTCAGCTGTCAAGTGTAAATATTTTAATGTCTGATTGACTGTCTGAATACATATTGTGGCAACAAGTTCCATATTTTATCTGTTTTGTGAACCCATCATGATGTCACCACCGAAGCTAGCCACTAGTGCATCCTAATTTTAAAAGGTGGAAATCTGCATGCGCAGAAAATGAAATATCCATATTCCTAACTTGGACACCTGTAAACGTAGTAAAAATAGAGCAGGTTGAACAAATGTAAAAGGGTGTATTTCAGAGGTTGCTATAAGGCACAGTTAAACACAGCTACAGTTTAGTAATAAACATCTTATGTTCTAGACTTCCTAACATGGACTTCAGTGATTTCAGAATATAATTACTGCGTGCAACTCTTGCCAAGGTTCTGCTATTGCCACATGCACATTCTCCAGGTTCATCTTTTGTTCCTTTGCTTGTCACATCTAGAGGAAGTGGTGGCATAGTGGTAATGTTATTGGACTTGTAGTCAGAGGCTAATGCTCTGGAAACATGGATTCAGATCCCACCATGGCAGCTGGTGGAATTTCAATGAATAAAGCTAGATTTAAAAGCTAATCTTCAAACTGGTGACTCTGAAACTCCCATTCAAAATCCATCTGGTTCAGTAATGCCCTTTAGGGAAGAGATTCTGCCATATTTACATGCAGTGACTCCAGACCAATAACTGTGTGGTTGACACTTCACTGTCCTCTGCAATAACCCGGCAAAACATTCCATTCAAGGGAAATTAGGAATGGACAACAAAAGCTAGCCTGGTTAGCGACACCCACATTCTGTGAAAGAATTAAATAATTCCTGCCACTTTTGCCTTGCACAATCACGTTATTATTTAATGTCCCCCCATTCCATCCCAATCTCAGACCTTCCCTTTTGTTCTTCTCTGCTTTCTCTTTTCCTGGAGGTGCTTGCTTAAAATCTGTTAAGTCTTCAACTTTTTCCAGTTCTGATGATGGTTCATAGATCTGAAACATTACTTCTGTTTCTCATCAGATGCTGCTTGATCTGCTGAATGTTTCCAGTTTCTTGTATTTTATATTAATCATCTCTTTAATTTGGTTGTACAATTTTTTTTCTGGAGCAGCTTCTGATTATGTTGAGTTAATGATTTGTATTTGGCAAAGTAAGTGTTGGGGAGAATACGATTGTTACACATTGCTTGGAAACTTCAGAATATTTAACAACATCTCACTGTAAATTTCCATTTTCATCTGCAGCTGCAAAAGTGAAACAGATTCGCCGAGGAGTAAAGGAAGTTCAGAAATTCATCAACAAGGGGGAGAAAGGGTGAGTATAATGTATCTGTTCTCTGATGCAGCGCAAAGAGGAATTATTGTTATACATTTTTATTCGTAATTCTTCAAAAAAATTGATTTTATAAAAAAGTGAATGCAATGCTCTCTACTAACACATTGTCCTACAAAGTAACAGATGTGGATTTATGTCATTTTCCATCCACCATTTCAGTTCACTACCCGAGATATTTTGTTCTGAGATTGCAGCAAGTGACAACTACCCACGTGACCCGGGAAGAAAATGAGAGGATTCAGTTTAGTTGATGCTTGTACGTCGAATCTGTTGGCCTCAGAACTGAGCTCTCAGTTTGGCTGAGTAGCTGCATCAAGCTGTGTGACAGAAACAAAACTGACAATACTCAAACCTGAAGAAGGGTAACTGGACCTGAAACATTAACTGGGATTTCTCTCCACCAATGCTGCCAGACTTGCTGAGCTTTTCCAGCAGTTTCTTTCAGATTTCCGTCATCCTCAGTTCTTTTGGTTTTTTTTTAAATAGTAGTGTATGGTTCACACCTTGGTATGATGGGAACAAAAGATTCCAATTATGGAGGTGATAAAGTTATAGTGGACTGATCCAATTGAGTGAATTGTTTAACTATTTCAGACAGCAATTGAGAGTCAAATGCATTGCTATGTGTTGCCTGTAGGTGAGGCTGGTAGGGTGATTGTTTTCCTTCCTTGAGGGACAGTAGGTAGCCAGAAAGGATTTAATAAATGTCAGTCATTATATGGTCATGATTACTGAAACCAGCTTTTTTTTTATCCTCTAGATTTATTAAGAGACTTAAAAGATCCAACACCTGTCGTGATTGAATTATCAGTCCAGTGATTTAGATTTAATCCAATGATATCACCACTATTCCTGACATCCTAACTGTAGTGCTGTAGGTTTATCCTCTTGAAATTGCCGTACCTGTAGCCAAGCTGTTCTAGTAGTGGTACAATGCTGGCAACCAGATGGCAATGTGGAATTATCTAACCAGTTCCCATTTGCATTCAACGGAATTAATATTGCTGAGTTCCATCTCTTCTCCCAGTACTCAACATTGTAAATCAGTTCTGATGAACACCTATTGGACTCAAAACATTAACTCTGCTTTCTCCCCACAGATGCTACTAGACCTGCTGAGTTTCTCCAACAATTTTTGTTTCAGATCTCAAGCATCTGCAGTTATTTGTTTTGCTGTGAATATTTTATTCATTAATATTGCTCGGGTTTTCACAAGGAGCCCAACTGCATCCACTGCTTCTTGGTGCTGATGTATTGAGGTCACTGATCCAAATTGACTGATTTTTCTTTTAAAAACAAACTCCTTTTGCAGGACCGAGACACATCTATCTGCCTCAATTTGAAATCCAAATCCAAATCCAAAAATATATTTGTTGTTCACTCTTCATCACGTGAGCATTCACAAAGCTGAGCATTCTACCCACCTATTTCATTAAACACTACCTACTTCCTTGTGGCAGGATTTGTAGATCCAGTATTAGACTACTTAGTCACCTCAGGACCTCCAACAGTGGAATGGATCCTCTTTGATTGCAAGGAACAGCCTAGGTAGATATAAGATGCACAACCAAAACTCACCAAGGGCAGCAAATGCATAAAAATACCACTACCTGCAACTTTCCCTCCATACCATCCTGACTTAGATGTATATCGTCTGTATTGCTTGGTCATAAACCTGGAACTCCCTTCCAATCAGCACTTTGGGTGTAGCCCCACCACATGGACAGCTGCGGTTCAGGAAGGCAGCCCATTGCTGACTTCTTAGTGGCAACTTGGGATGTTCTTCAAATGCAGGCGTTGCTAACAATGTTTCCATCCTGTGAAAGAACAATAGAAATCTATTTTGTATTGTGGAATGCTTGAATTTATAGTCCTCTTGAGCACACAAATCCTGGTAGTCAGAGTCAGCCTCTCTTTTTTTCCATTTTTGACCTACTTGTTATGTTTGACCTGAATTCTCTTACTGTAGCTTACTGTCACCCTTATCAATTCTTACATCTGTATCATCTTGCTCTGTGCTGTACCTGGATTATCTATGAAATTATATTTTTTAATGAAAATTCCTCTTCCATGTGTTCCTTTTAATATGTGATTATACTTTGGCTGTTTTATAAATGAATTTTATAAAGCAAATTACTCAAAATAAAATACACTGATATCTTGATGAATTTATAGTAAAGATGCAGGCTTGTTGTATTTAATGGAACAAAGGCAATAGAGCAGAAGACAAAAGTAATTTTGCAGGAGTCTGTACTTTTTCAGTGTGGTACTGTGCTAACATACTATTTCTCTGCTTGCAGGATTGTTGTATTGGCTGGTGATACTCTGCCAATTGATGTTTACAGCCACTTGCCAGTCTTGTGTGAAGATAACAACCTTCCTTATGCTTATATACCATCCAAAATGGTATGCTTTCAATTGTATTCTAGAATAAACCAATGAAAAGTTCCGATACTTGTACAAGATACCTACGATAAATTTTCTGATAACGTTGGCCAATGGTTTTAGAGTATCAATTGCAGCTCAGATAGGTTGAAACTAAGAATGAAAATAATGTAAATGCAGAAATCTGAATCAATTAAATTATTTGGGATGAAGTTGTTTCACAATGAGAAATTACTGTGCTGTTCTCGCCTCCAGTGGACACTGGAAGTACATTGGTTAGACAAAGTGAGAATTTGCCAATTTACACATGGAAGAGACATTGAATTGACAAAATATTTTTGGAGATGACATTTTTCTTCAATCTACTGCATTGCCACATAGTCGAGTATTCTGATTATCATGTTGTGCTGTTTGATCTGCAGTTACATTTGCACAGATGTGACTGGAATATGCAGAGTGTGAATGATAATATTTGTTTTTGCTCAGGATCTGGGAGCTGCTGCAGGATCCAAACGGCCAACATGTGTGATAATGATTAAACCTCATGAAGACTATCAGGAAGCATACACTGACTGCTTAGACGAGGTGCAGTCACTAAACCTTCCCGTATGAAGGAACAAAACTGAGTGATCTGCAATGAATATTGAATGTGTCCTCACAATATGGTGCACTGAATCAGTGATTTCCGATTCAGTTCTGTCTGTGCCAGTTGCTGAATGTTATTTTCAATGCTTTAGATTTTTTATCTTTGAAATATGTACAGATATTAAAGTTTGTCGTGTTTTTGGAATTCTAACAACAAGCTGTAAACTTCAGAAGCGAAAGTTGCCTTTTTTTATTTCCTGAGGTTTATTCACTGCGCTTCAGAAACTAAACATTTAGGGCTAATCTTTTGAATTGGATAAAAATTGGACTTGGGGAGGATGATGGCATCAACAACGACCGCAAACCAGTTCAGTCATTAGGTCTTAGTGAGTAGTTTCGGCGAGTTGCTAATGCTCAACAAGTTTGACATGCAGCTCAGCATTGTCGGGGTGAAGGAACTTGGAGTTACATTCGATGTGTTCCCTTAGGGAGTTACAATCTGGAGTGGAAACCTCTAAGCAATCAGCAGCCAATGGAAGATTCGTGTTACTTCTGCCCTGCCCATCTTAGAGTGGAGGGGTTTTTTTTGCTGTTTTTGGAACTGCCCTTAAGGTGAAATCAGGCTTCTTAATGTTTGGTGTCATTGGAGTTCATCAAGTGATTAAGTTGGATGCTGCTGACTAGAAATATGAAACTTTTTCATATCAAGGCAAATGCAAGAATGTCAAGTGCTTGCTATCTCCATGGCAACTCAATGAATCAGCATCAATTTGCTAACCAATCTCCAGTAGTATAAATTGTTGTAATTGTTTGAAATTTGGCATTCTTGTGTTGGTTGTGAGGAGTGTAAGAGGAGAGACCTCAGCAATATGCCTGTCCTTTCAACAATATTCAAGTTGTATAATACTAAGTGACTCTTCTAAGTGTTGTTTTGGTGAGATGACAAACCATTAGGATCATTGTGATTGCTGTAAAACTAGTGCTAGTGTTAGAAAATGTTGTAATCTTGTGCATGGAGAAAATCATAAATATTTCAAATTCATCCATTCCTCTTGTCAGGTTTTATAAAATCAATTTGGACATTTCCCTTTTACATGTTGTTCGAGTCTGAGTTACTTCCCATATCTCTTGTAACATTGCACATTATTAACTTTTGTACAAATGTTTGCTAATAAAATAATGAAATGCTTTAACATTTATTTTTAAGAATGCCAAAATTAAATGACTGACTTATTCAATCTTGTAGGGTTACATTATATTTTTGTAGGAAGTAACTTATTCGTAGTGTGTAGAACAGCAATTGTTTGCATTTGCAGAGCAGCCATATCTCTGAGTCACTAGCCCTTCCATTATAAAAGGACACTGAGACAAAAAGTATATTAGAATGAAAGACGTAAGGCTTCTTCAGATGGGGAATTTTAGTGTCTTAAAGGGACGAGAGAGTGTGAACCTGAGATGGGATTTAGGTTGCATGTTAACCATAGAACCCTACAGTGTGGAAACAGGCCCTTCTGCCCAACAAGTCCACATTGACTCTTACAGCATCCCACCCAGACCCATCCCCCTATAACCCAACTAATCTACACATCCCTGAACACTATGGGCAATTTAGCGTGGCCAATCCACCTAGCCTGCACATCTTTGGACTGTGGGAGGAAACCGGAACACCCGGACGAAACCCACGCAGACACAGGAGAATGTGCAAACTCCACGCAGACAGTCAAGGGATATGTTATAGGCTGAGGTGCATAACTCCAGTCTTTTTATAACAAGCCTGTATCTACCATGAGAATATGGGAACTTCATGCTATCCAATATATTTGAAATGCTGAGTCACAGCAAGATGTAACTTTCCTGGCCAATGGCAGAGTTACAGAGTGAACAGCAGCCTATTATGCTTTTGTGGTTAATGACCTTGCTTGAATTGGCTGCAATTTGTGCCTAAGTGGTGACTACCTTAAATCTCTCCATTACTTTGAGTGTAAATTCTGGCCCAGTGACTCAGTTTGGGTTTTGTCAGAGCCAGTCTGTTCTTGATCTCTGTTTTCAACCAAATTTGGGTAATAGAGCTGAGTCTAAGTGGTGAGATGAAAGTGACTACCTTTGCCCTGGTAGCATTGATTTCAACTGGACTGGGCTGAGAGGAACTGTCCACTGGTTGGACTCATACCTAGCATAGAGGAATGTGATTGTGGTTGTTGATCGATCATCTCAGGAGTTCCTCACCAGACCCAGCAATCTTTAGCTACTTCATCAATTCCCTTTCTTATATCACCAGATGAATGTAAGTGTTTGCATAACATTCAGCACCATTTATGTCCTTTCAGATACTGAAGTAGTCCATACGCAACAAGACCTGTAAACATCCAGGTTAAGGGTTATATGATATTTGCATAACACAAGTGCCAGACAATAACCATCTTCAACAAGAGAGAATCTAATAGTCACTGTTGTTGAATTTCCACCACCCCTGCCCCAATAACATCGTGGAAGTAATTGTTGACCAGGTATTTAACTCCTCTGATCACAGAAACACTTATGACCAAAGGCTAGGAATCCTATAGTGAATAACTCACCTCACTTCAAAAGCCTATCCATGGGACAAGCTAGGAGTGTGATGAAATACTCTCTACTTGCCTAGATGGGTGTAGCTGCAACAACTCTACTAGCCAAGACAAAGCCTGCTTGATTGGCACTAACTTCAATACTCACGCCTTACACCACAAATGCACAGTGGCAACAGTGTACCATTTACAAGATGCACTGTGACAACTCACCAAGGCTCCTTCAACAGCACCTTCCAAACCTGTAACCCCCACTACCTTGAAGGATAAGGGCAGCAGATGCGTGGGAACACCACTACCAGCAAGTTCCCAAAGTCTCACATCATCCTGAAATTAGCGATATCACAATTTGTTCACTGACTGAGTCAAAATTCTGAATGACACTAATAACACTGGTAGTATCTACCTCCTGTGGACTGCAACAGCTCACACCACTCTCAAGGCAATTAGAGAAAGACAGTATATAATGACATAGCCAGTGGTACCCATATCTCATGAACAACTTGTTTTAAAAAGCATGAATTTGATCTCCCTAATCTTTAACTGAACTAAACTTCAGTTCTTCAGGGCTATATGTCAGATAACTAGTTTGACAGTACAGGCAGTTTAGGCTGAAAGAAAGTGAGGTAAAACTGGATTTAGAACCAGACATCTTTGGATGAGGGATAAGACAAGAAGTTGAACATATCCCTCAAGATCTTCTTCAGTAAGTACGGGAGAAGAAAGGGAAACTGTTGGAGATTCTTCAACAATGACTGACAAAGTCCCAGAGGGTGCTCTTTGATTAGAGAGAAAGACTATTGATAGCGGGTTTCATCTGTGTTCACCATGACTCAGTCAAGGAGCAAGTTTGAAACCCTTGTTATCCTGTTTTGCAAAGCAGCTGTCATGGCAACTTAGCTAAAAACTCTCCAAAGAGCTAAGATTGGAAGCAGGTAACAGCAGTTTCATCTGGCCAATGGTAGTGAGAAGTTGATTGAGAATGATGTGCTCAATCATGCCAAAGGCTTCAGATAGGTTGAGAAGAATGAGGAGGGATAATGCACCACAGTCACAGAGAATGCCATTGGGGACTTTGATTAGGTCTACTTTAGTGATGGAGCAGACCTTGACTGGAGGTGTTTAAACATTGCTTTGCAGGTGAGAAAAGCAGAGATTTGGCATACAACAGATCCAAAAATGTTGGTAAGGAAAGGGGAGATAGTGGATAGAGTTGTAGCAAATATAGATAGAATATGTTGAGTAGAAGTTTGATAGATTTGGAAGGGAATAGAATAGTAAGAAAACTGAATGATTATATCAACAAGTGCGATAGAGAATTGAAGATTAGTGGGAACGGGGTCAAGATCAAGAGTCTGGTGCTCGTGGACAAGAGGAGGTTTGAGAAAGATGAGATAATGAAAAATGCAAATCTCTTGGGTTAAAGAAACAAAGTTGCAGAGGGAGCTAAATGCAAATTGTAATCTTAGTGGCAGAAATCCATGAGCTCCTTGCTGTTGTTGGGAGCTTGGCAAAGGATAAAATGAGATAATTCAAAGTGAAGGAGAAAATTTGGGTATAACTTTACATTCTTGAATGATTCTGGAGAGAGACTGGGATCTGATATGTGGCCAGCCAAATCTAGTGATGAAGTCTGCTATGCACCATAAAGAAGCAAAGGTGTAGGCTGTACCAGAGAAAACTAAGGTTCAGACAGAGTAAGGGTTTTAATGAAGGTAAGGACATCCAAAGTGAAGGTGAGGATGTGGTTTGAAGTTGGTAGCTCCAGAAATATTATGGTGAGCAAGAGAAAAGATGAGATATTTGGGGACAAAAACTGAAAAAACTGCAGATGCTGTGAATCAGACAAAAATAGAAATTGCTGGAAAAGCTCAGCAGATCTGGCAGCATCTGTGAAGAGAAATTAGTTAGTGTTTTGGGTTGAGTGACCCTTCTTCAGAACTCCATTTACTCTGATTTCTCTCAGCAGACGCTGCCATTTCTATTTTTGTCTCAGATATTTGGACGTTGTATGTGGCTTGAGGGGAGGTTTTGAAAATGAGCTGGATGCAATGTCCACATAAAACAGAAGTATGAGTAATGAGAAATTAAACACTAGGGGAACAAAAGTTGCTAATAACTTTTAAACTCGCAATCACGTCATTATATACTCCTGTGAATAAGCATTGATGAACTTGGTGCATCCATATTTAAGCTTAAATGTTGCCTGGCATCAATCTTTCCATCTTAGCTCCCTTAGGGTGTGAAGGGCAGTAAAAATTCTGAACAAAAACAAAGTTGCTGGAAAAGCTCAGCAGGTCTGGTAGTATCTGTGTAGGAAAAAAGTTAACGTTTCAGGTCTAGTGACCCTTCCTCTGTTTTAAAAAGTCTGAGCTATGACATGTCTACAAGTAGCATGGATGGAGATTTAGCAAGCTGTCACTTGCCTTTATGACCAGTTGTGGACCAGACATACTGACCCATTAGAGTCATACAGCATGGAAACAGGCCGTTCAGTCTAACCGGTCTATGCTGACCATAATCCCAAACTAAACTAGTCCCATTTGCCTGCTCCTGGCCCATATCCCTCCAAACCTTTCTTATTCGTATATCTATCCAAATGTCTTTTAAACCTCGTATTTGTACCTGCATCCACTACTTCATCAGGAAGCTCATTCCACACCAGAACAACCACTGTGTAGAAAAATTGCCTCATGTCTTTTTCCAATCTCTCTTCTCTCACCTTAAAAATATGCCCTCTAGTCTTGAAATTCCCCATCTTAGGAAAAGACAACTACCATCAACTCTATCTCTACCCCTCATTTTTATAAACGTATCAGGTCACCTCTCAACCTTCCACACACCAGTGAAAAAACGTCCCAGCCTACCAGCCTTTCTTTATAACTCCAACCTTCCATACCCAGCAACATCCTGGTAAATCTCTTCCAAGCCCTCTCCAGCTTGATAATATCCTTCCCATAACTGGGCAAGCAGAACTAGACACAGTATTCCAGAAGAGGCCTCACCAATATCTCATACATCCTCAACCTAACATCCCAACTTCTTTACTCCAAGGACAGCAATGAAGGCAAGTGTGTCAAATATCTTTTCAACCATCCTGAGAAATAAATCATGCAAACTTTACACACCTGCACTGCTAAGTCTCCCTGTTCTACAACACCAGCATTAATTGTATAAGCCCTAACCTTGTTTGTTGTACCAAAATGCAATACCTTGCATTTATCCAAATTGAATTCCATCTGCCTGTTGACCCATTCCATCAACAGCTCTTTGCAATCTTAGAAAACTTTCTTCACTGGCTACAATGCTGCCAATTTTGGTGCCATCCATAAACTTAATAAACATATTTTCTATATGCTCATCCAAATCATTTACATAAATAACAAACAAACAAAAAAAACATTATTTGAAAGAAGAACTCTGTCTCAAGAAGTAAAAACCTGTGAATCATACATACTAGCCTGACCTGTCTTGTATTCCTCAAAATGGAGCTCCAACATGACCAGTGCATACGTTTCCAAGTGTGACTGCTTTGATCTTTGGGTTATCCCCACAAGTCCTCCTTTGTCATGTCTGCCATTGTCTTAAAGTGCAAAATAGGCCAGCTTTTATTTGGAGGAAAAAAAGGCTGGATTCTTTAAAACAAAATATGCCAGAAAGATTAATCCCAAGACTGGAGATATAACAATGTTATTTCAGACTGTTGGTGCCAACTCTTGGGTCTGCTTCAGTGAATACGCAATAAAACATTGTGTTCTAGCTCCTGTGCATTTATTTATTAATTGCTGTCTGTGAACGATGGAGAAAGTGGGGAGAGTTTACTTGGGGGATCGCAATCACATTAAATCCAGCGCAATATGAAACACTGGCTCTTCAATGGTCCCCAACTGCTTTCTGAAGGGTGTGGTCGGCGGAACGTGCGTTCGGGCTCACAGCGGGAGGGGGTCTCGGGGGAAAGGTATTGCGGCCGGGGTCTCGGGGATTTGGGGAACGGGCTGTTGGTGGGACCGGAGGGAGGGGGAAGAGAGGGTGACAATCCCCATTAAAACCCCCACAACAAACTGATCAATAATCCAGGAGCTTCAAACGGTGAGTTGATCGAGCGCCTCCATCGTCCACAATTAATTAGCAAATAAATAAGTACATCAGTAAGCACGGCGTCTGAAATGCAGGGTTATGGCGAGGGCCGTTGTGGGGTTAGTGGTAATGTCCCCTTCTTCTGAACCAGGAGCCCCAGCTTCAAGTCCCAGAGAGGTGTGTAATAACATCTCTGAACAAGTTGATTTAAAGCTATTTGCAGGGTTCTGGGGGTTAATGTGGGGTAAGAGATATTGAAATGTTCCCTCAGCCATGATTCTATTAATGGTGGGGCAGGCTCGATGGTTTGAACGGCCACTGCTGTTCTCATGTACTATTTATTGAGTATTAACTGGAGCAGGCCTAGGAGTGAGCTGCTGGGATCAACCAAGACACTGTATCATGGCTGTGCCTCCATTCAGACTAATACTTTTGCAGTTTTGTTTTTAACGAGCCCAGCTAAAATTAGGTTTTTTTTGTTTGTCTTGTGTGTGCTTTAAATGTATTAGTCCAAATGAATTTCTGCCTGACCTGAGTATTTCCATTGATTTTATGTTTTCATTTAATATTTACTCCCCTTTTCTCACACTGGCTGATCTGCTCAAGGATCTCTTTCTTCATGTGTCGCTTCCTTCTTTCCCACTCTTCCCCCCAACTTCAGGTTTGTCCTTATCATCCCCTCCTCAAATATTCTTAATTCCTTCCATGCTTGCAAATTAATACCCATCTTTTCTGTAGCTTCCTGTTGGAACCCTCCATTAGGTTTCCACCCCTGTCATTGTAATGAAATTATATTTCTCAATGTTGTGAATGATGACCCCTGTATGAATATGATAGGGGTAAATATTCCTTTGTTTCTCTTTTCAAGCTGCCGGCTGTCTTTGTTGTTGTTGACCGTAATATCCATCTTTGAAGCTGACCCAGACAATGTGCAACTTTGGGTGTCAGATTTGCCCCCAAGCTGGATATCTGACTAGGCATCCACTGTCACTACTTTCTCTACTTCCATTACAATTCTGCAGCTACCTTACTTATTCACTGCTGAAGCCCTCATTCATACATAGCTCCTCTAATTCTGACATTTTGTGCATCTGATTTTAATCAATCTGCCATTGGCCACCTTACATCCAGCTGCCATGACCCTAAAGTCTGAAATTCCCTCTCTAAAATTCTACACTTTTCCTGCTTTAAAGTGTACTTAAAACCTAGCTCTTTGACCAAGCTGTTGGTCAATTGCCCAGTATCTCTGTAGGTAAAAGTGGTAATTTTTGCTCTTTCAAAGCACTTTAGATTTTTTTTTTACTATGATAAAAGTGTGTGTATAGGCAAGATTTTAAAAAAAGACTTTTGCAGTTCTCTTGTTCTTGCCTGGTTTGTATATCATTCCATTACTTCTCCAGCCAGTGTAATAATTCTGCTTTGAATGGCCTTTTTGTTATCTGGTGGAGTTAGTTAAGGAATGTCATGAAAGGCAAAAAGTATCCTTTAAAGTTTGGGGCAGATGCTACATTATTCTGATCGTAACAAAATAACTGCAAAAGGAAGGGAGGGGAATAAATATACTCAGTTCGTTAAGAGTGAATTTTAAATTAAAATGAGGAAAGGTTTAATGAAAACCTACTCCCACCTTCGGCTGAGTTGCCACTAATTTTGAACTAAGCTGCCTCCTTGATGATCAATCACAATTAATGAGACCAAAGAAATTTAAAAAAAAATTAATTGATGGGTTTTTGTGTGTGATTTTAACTTTACTTTAAATACCAAAGAGTTAGAAGTGCTGATGAAACTTGAAATGTAATGAAAATGAAAAGCATCCAAATTAAGCATCAAAGATTCTCAGTTATTGACCAGCTTCCCTGATCAGTAAATGCATTGGGATATATTTACTGCTGCTTGACATCTTGAAGGGATACAGGCACATTGCTAGTTAAAGGCGGAGGTGGATTAAAGGATAGAGCCTGAAGTGGCAGAAAAATCTTCCAAAATAAGCCAGATTCAGAGAAAGGAAGTCGCCAACTGCCATTCAGATGTCTTTTGATGGATACAGACTAATGTTCTGAACCTCTCCTTTAATTTCAGCATCAAGCATGAATGATTTAAGGTTATTTAAACCGCCAACTATGTTATCTGTTTCCTTACTCTTTATTTTGATGGTAATAGTTTTTCCAGTTTGTAAATCATGTAATCTGCTCAGATATAGATAACTGACTGCTCTTACCTTCTGTCATTCTATCAAATTTTAATTTTACAATTAACATTTCATTCTGTTGGATAAATTTGCTTTTATATCATTTAAAATTGTGTTCTTATTACATCAATGTTAATATTTTATATAAGTGTCCCAGGTGATCTTTACTTTCTTGGGTAGAGGTTAGGGGTTTGGAAGAGTTTGGGGAGCTCCTTTTGTGACAAAAGAATATAATGAAGTTTTGAGGTTAATTCATTCTGCCAGATATTGAAAAGTATCAAGTGATTCTTCTATTTTTATCCTTTTTAAAGGGTATACCATTTCCTCCAGCTCAACATTATGATTCATTATCTGAGCAAACAAGTCAAAAACACTTTTTAAATACCAGTTGACAGATTTGAATCCTGAGTCTGGCCAGGATATTTTCTTCTAAATAGCTGTTTTAAATCTGAAAGTACTATGACTAAAAGGAAGAAAGAGAGGCTTTATTGTTTACATTTTAATTTTATTTCTTTTTATTGCTGTAGCATCCAACATGTCAGATCAGGAGAAGTTGCTCGAGATTTTAAAGAAGGAGCTGCGGTCTCTGCTGATTTCTGCCAAAAGTAGTCTGACTCCTGTGGAACTAGAAAGAGATTACCACAGCATGATGGGGAAGCAGCTGCCTCTGTGTGCGTTAGGCTACAGGTCTGTTCTGGAGCTTGCCTCCAGCATACCAGACACTATCAAAATTCATGCACGTGGAGATGGCAGCATCCTTCTAAAAGGTAAACGGGAATCTTTTGTTTGATTTTTTTTTTAAAAAAACAAAATTCTTTGCACCAGTTGATTTTGGAAAGTTTATATTCTTTCACAAACCCCAAAAATCTGTGGAGTAATTTCATGTTGGGTATCATAGCTGGCTGAATAACTGGACAGGAAGTTTGCTGTCTTCATTTTTCTTATCTATGTTATTCTTCAGCTTGATGTCATAGAGTCATAGATTTATACAGCACAAAACAGACCCTTTGTTCCAACCTGTCCGCACTGACCAGACATCCCAATCTGATCTAGTCCCGTTTGCTCGCATTTGGCCCATATCCCTCTTAAAAACCCTTCCTATTCATGTATAAATCTAGATGCCTTTTAAATGTTATAATTGTACCTGCCTCCTCCACATCCTCTGGCAGCTTGTTCCATACATGCACTACCTTCTGTGTGAAAAAGTTACCAATCAGTTTGTCATCTTTTCTGTGAAGAAGGCATCTAGCCTGTTTTTCATCATTTTGCCTGAATTTCCTTTAGAAATTGAAAATTCATCAAGTGAGGGGTTGCAAGAGTGTATAGAAATTGCACTTTAATGTCACAGATGTTCATGGACTATTGTCCCATGTGTCCTCAGCGTAGGCTTCCTCTTAGCTCTCCGTTTGTATAAACATAGAAACGTAGAAGATGGGAGTAGGAATAAGCTATTCGACCCCTTGAGCCTGCACAATATGATTGTGGCTGATCATCAAGCTCAATACATTAATCCCATTGTCCTCCCATCCCTTGATCCCTTTAGCCCCAAGACCTATATCTAGCTCCTTCTTGAAAACATAGTGTTTTGGCTCAGCCACTTTCTATAGTAGTGAGTGATGAAAGGTTTGTAATAATATATTATATTCAAGCTAGTGGCATAGAATCATAGAATCCTAGAATCCCTACAGTGTGGAAACAGGCCCTTTGACCCAACAAGTCCACACCGACCCTTGGTGCATCCCACCCAGACCCATCCCCCTATAACCCATCTTGGCTACACATCCCTGAACACTACAGGCAATTTAGTATGGCCAATCCACCTAACCTGCACATCTTTGGACTGTGGGAGGAAACCGGAGGAAACCCACACAGACACAGGGAGAATGTGCAAACTCCGCACAGACAGCTGCCCAAGGGTGGAATTGAACCCGGGTTCCTGGTGCTGTGAGGCAGCGATGCTAACCACTGAGCCACCGTGCTGCCAAATGAGTGGCATATGAGTGCTTACTTTTGTCAAGGGTTTTTAAAAAATACAAAACAAACCAGGTCAGAGTTCTTTTGTGACCTGATCCAATGTGTGTAAGATAACATGTGTCTAGATGTCTTCTGGCATTTTAATCAAAGGTTTTCAAGTTTATACATGAGTTAATGACAGACGGTAAACCTTGAAAGACATTAGCTGTCTTTTAGTTTCAGACATGAACCCTTTTGGGGCACCTTCTATAATCAAATCTTAAAGGTTAATTTAGAGATAACAAGAACTGCCGATGCTGGAGTCAGAGATAACAGCGTGGAGCCGGAGGAACACAGCAGACCAGGCAGCATCAGAGGAGCAAGAAAACTGACGTTTCAGGTCGGGACCCTTCTTCAGAAATGGGAGAGGGGGAAGGGAGCTCTGAAATAAATAGGGAGAGGAGGGGTGGGGCTGGTGAAGGTAGGTGGGATGGTGATAGGTAAGTGCTGACCCTAAGAGTCTAGGCCCAAAATGTCAGCCTTCCTGCTCCTATGCTGCTGCTTGGCCTGCTGTGTTCATCCAGCTCTACACCTTGTTATCTCAGATTCTCCAGCATCTGCAGTTCCTACTATCTCTGGGATATAGTCTAGTCAGGTTTGAATTTGAAACAGATAAAAAAAAAACATACTTTTATGGTCAGTAGCTAATGCGTTGATGATGTGGGGAAGTTGTTTTTACTTCAGAGTATAGACTTGTCAAAATATGGTAAGAAGTTGCTATAGTCCTTTAAATGGAATGTTTCTGAAATCATACGTTTCTGATTGAGGATGTTTCCAGCCTGCTGGGAGTGTATTGCTAATTCATTGTGATTATTATGAGCATTGACTGGTATTATATCCTAGAACTTGCTTGAATGCCGTCAGAAATTGGAGAAGAATTCCCAGTGTTTTTCCTGACTCGGCTACAGATTTTCTCTTTTTCCTTTTTATTATATCTCTCCTGGAAGATAGCACTATCAAGCAGCTAGTTTTCTGTTTGCATTGTTGCAAAGAAGCTTCATTGTTTCCTTTTTGTCACATTTTTTAATATGTTTACGTGGAAGCCAAATACTTGGAACTGAAAATCGCTGTTTATACGTTTGGAGTTGCTCATGGACACCTTTATAGAGTTGGTCTTTTTTGGTAGATTTATTAAATACTAATAGCATTTCCTGCAGAACACATCACCATTATCTAAAACCATATTTGTAAATGGCATTGGATTGTATCATTTGGTGTGGGAAGATAATACTTTGTCTGGTTGTGATCTGACAATGATCTCGTGATATTTTGTTTTTGGATTTTGTTTCATGTTTGCATGGAGGATGAATTAAAATAATGGAAGCATTTGGTTACTCTGTTTTGAATACCTTTTTTCCAGGGATTGGGAATGAAACCACAAAAGGAATTGAAGAACTGGTGGCAAAAGCAAAAGTTTCTGCCAAGACCAAACGTAATGTGAGAAAAACCCGGGCAGAACTCATGCAGAAGCAGGCGTTTCTGCCCAGGAGGTATAACACCACGCCAATTCTACCAGCATTAGTAAAGTGTGAACTCAGAGAGCTGGTGGCATCCTTTCCTGGTGGTGTCTTGCTCTCTGATTTTGACAAGTCATTTATGAAAAGGTACGGGCGGCCTTTTCAATACACGAGGTATGGCTTTTACTCCTTGCAGGAAGTTCTCAAAGCAGCTGGAGATGACATTGAGATCCAACAGACACGCCGGGGTTCCCTGCTGTTGCCTAGAAACAAAAATAGAGAGAGTCCACTGAAGCAAGGTAGGTTTTTTATTTGGAAGCTACTTTATGCTTGTTACTTTTTAAAGTCTGATTTGTTTTATTTATAGCCAAAGAGTTTCAATTATCAAGTTGTCAGTCCCCTCTTTCAAAGGTTCATCCATTCAGGCAATATATGATAACATCCATAAATGTTGGTGCTAATCCTTAACTGACCTACACCATATGGTAAAGGAGCAGAATTAAGCCATTCAGCCCATCAAGTTCGCTCAGCCATTCAATGAGATCATGGCTGATCTGATAACCCTCAACTCCACTTACCTGTCTTTTCCCCATAACCCTTGATTTACTTGCTGATTAAAGAACTGTCTATCTCACTTTGAATAGACTTAATAACCCACTCTCTAGAGCCCTCTGCTGTCTTTTTTTAAAAATCCACAGATTCACTACCCTCGGAATAAAATTCCTCCTCACCTCTGTCTTAATGAACTACCTTTTACTCTGAGATTATGCTCTCTGGTCCTATACCCTCCCATGAGAGGAAACAACTTTAACACATTTTCCCTGTTGAGCCCGCTATGCGTCTTAAATGTTTCGATCTGTTCTCTTCTCATTCTTCTAAACTTCAGTGAGTGCAGGCCCAATCTAGTCAACCCCTCAAGAAAATTCTTCCATACCTGGAATTAAACTAGAAGTATTCATTAATTGGGAACAACACAGTATGGAGCTGGAGGAACACAGCAGGCCAGGCAGCATCAGAGGAGAAGGGAAGTTGACTTTTCAGGTTGGGTCCATTCTTGTGAAGAAGGGTCCCGACCTGAAATGTCAATTTTCCTGCTGCTTTGCTGCCTGGTCTGCTGTGTTCCTCCAGCTCCACACTGTGTTGTCTCTGACTCCAGCATCTGCGGTTCTTGTTAGCTCTGAGTGTTCATTAATCGTACTCGGTGCTACTTGGAAGTCATGTCATTTCTTGTTTTTCAGCTGTGGAAATGAAGCATACTGTCAAAGAATCATAAAATAGCCAGCAATAATTCAATAGCTGAAAGAGACTCCAGATGTCAAGTTATGAGACTTGGCGAGGAGAGAAACTTGCACAGTTTGCTCTTCCAGATGCTAATGCAAATTTGCATATTTAATTATATTTTATGCTGGCTTAGGTAAATGGTCAAACCAGTCTGTTCAGAGCAATCCAGCCCAAACGCATGCGAAAATGGCGGTACCGAGCCCAACCAAACCACCCACAGACAATCAGATTGTATCAGCTTTGAAGACAGAGGATTTACCTGATCCAGCTCCAGTCCCTGAGTACTTTGATGGAGGTTTGAAAAAGGTTTGCATTTACTTGGATATCTTTGCTTCCAATCATCTATCCATCTCTTTTTTTCATACCTGCTGTACAGCTTTCTTTTGTAGCTGTGATTTCCTTCATTTTGATCTTTGCAGTTTGGTGTTTCTTACTGTCTAATCTTTGATTTTTGTTTGTTGCCTTCGGGATCAATCTGTCTAAAACTCTGTGTCTGAGGTAATGCACTTGTCTGTCTTTTGAAATCAAGTGTCCCATTTGACTACTGATTTTTTTTTTTTTTACTGTGCTATCTTCCTATCATCAATCTCTTCTCATCTAGTTTGGCTTCCAGAAAGGCAACAATTGTAGTTTTAAGAAAAATTGTGTTCCCAACACAAGGCAACATTAAAGATGACCGTCAGGAGCGTGTGCACAGTACCATTATGTCCCACATGTGGGAGTGATGTTACTCTAGCTGACATTTAATGAGTAATTTTAGAAAATTCCTGTGTATCTTTTGTGCTTTTATTTTGCTGTGCCGTGTCTGCTTTCCAACTAAGTGCGGGTTCTGAAATTTGAAGCCAGTGAACTGAATGGTGTGGGTTAATTGTGACACCTATTAAAAAAGGTTTTCATATTGATAAAGCACCACGTAGATGTTTTCAATGTAGTTGACGTGAATTGCTGTGACCTATGCTGCACTTTTAATATTAGATATGTTGATGCTGTTCCAAATCTGTTTTATATTAATGGAGATGTGATGGAATAACTTGCCCACGAGTGTTTACCAACATTTTTCAGATAAAAATGGAAGCAGTTTAGGTGCAAAGGATCATATGCAGAGTTACTTCAACTTCTGTTGCTATCTTGAGAACGTAGAATCCTGAATACTGGATTACAGCAGTACTTTTGGATTTCCTCTTCAGATCCTTTTTTTTTTAGAAAGATTACAGTGGAAAACTTTTTTAATGAGTGTTTTGAAGAAATTCCAGTGACCATGAGTTTGATTTATTCCCACCCTGCATTGAATTATGGCCAGTTCCTTGAATATATGGAAAGTAAACTACATTGAAGGAATTTACGTGGCTTTACAATCTTGGCAAAATCGACGGAGCTGACAAACAGTCTTAATTGCTTTTGCTACAAATAGGCTGATCAGTAGGCTGATCAACCGTGAATGAGACAACATTGCTGCCTGTCAACAGCTTGCTGATTCCTATGTTGGCCTAGATGGGACAAGGCAGGTGAGTAGGCTAGAAACCAGTAGCTGTTTTGTTCACTGGCTTCACCTCTTCTTTTTGGTGTGTTGAAATGATGTGTCACCAACCAGTATCTTTTGGTGTTCAAGCTTGTAGAAGACCTGAGGACAGTACTTGTAGATAAAGGAGTTGAAGGCACCATTGATTTGCAAATGAAGGAGAAAATTCGATTTGTAAGTAGAAATTGAATATTTTGATGTAACCTTTTCTCAGGGGAGGGAAGTGAGGAAGATGTTTATTTCGGTGTTGTACCATGTGATGGTCAACCTGAAACTGAATATCTTGCAAATAGCCAAAAGTGAGGGTAATTGATTGTGAAATTTTAAAGCAACAGGGAAACATCTTCCTCCTTTTCCATTTGTGAGGTGAAGATCAAGGTGCATCACAATGTGAAAACACCAATTGTGTTTTGTCAGGTAGGTTTTATTAAATAGGTACTTATTCACAGTTACTCCTGCATTTGTATTAAGTGTTGAGTCAGATATAAGACCTATGTAACAAACTAAAGATGTAAAGCTTGCAGCTCCAAAATTGTTTCAGAGACTGCCCGCTCAACAGATGTAATAGGCTGGTTTTCATTTCCTGCTTAAGAGAGGAGGGGAGACTTATTTGGAAGTAAACTAGGGTAATAGTTTGCAAAATAAAACTTTTATTATTGAGATATATGTGAGGGGTTGTATTTTGGTAAGCCAAACCAGGGCAGGACTTAAAACAGTTAATGGTAAGGCCCTGGGGTGTGTTGCCAAACAAAGAGACCTACGGGTGCAGGTGCATAGTTCCTTGAAAGTGGAATCGCAGGTAGACAGTGTGGTGAAGAAGGTGTTTGGCACATTTAGTTAGTCAGAACGTTGACTATAGGAGTTGGGACGTCCTGTTGCAGCTGTACAGGATATTGATGAGGCCACATTTAGAATACTGTATACAGTTCTGGTTGCGCTTCTATAGGAAAGATGTTGTTAAACTTGAAAGGATTCAGAAAAGTTGTACCAGGATTTTGCTGGGACTGGAGGGTTTGAGTTATAGGGAGAGGCTGAATAGACTGGGGCTTTTCTTCTTTGAGCTTTGGAGGCTGAGAGGTGACCTTGTGGGGGTTTCATAAAATCATGAGGGCCATGGATAGGGTGGAATAGCCAAGGTCTTTTTCCTAGAGTGGGGGAAGTCCAAAACTAGAGGGCATAGGTTTGAGGTGAGATGGGGAAATAAGTTTAAAAAGGACCTGAGGGGTAACACCACAGCAGGTGGTGCATGTATTGAACAAGCTGCCAGAGGAAATTGGTGGAGGTGGGTACAATTACAACATTTAAAAGGCATCTGGATGGGCATGTGAGGAGGAAAAGTTGAGAGGGATATGGGCCAAATACTGGCAAATGGTACTAGATTATATTGGGATGTCTGGTTGGCAGGGATGAGTTGGACTGAAGGATCTGTTTCCGTGCTGTATGACTATAAAGAGAGATTTTTTTTTTTCATTTTCTACTCGTGTGGTACTGCAGTTATTGACTTTCTAGTTCTGGCCATATTATTTAGTTTTCACCAAATAACATTCTTTGTTTTTGGCTCATTTTCCTCTTCCATTTTCAAGAAGCAACCGTTTTGTTTAGAACGTAGAACCGTACAGCACAGTACAGACCCTTTGGCCCATGATGTTGTGCGGACTTATTATCCTACACTGAGATCAAAACTAACATGCATACCCTTCATTTTACTATCCTCCATGTGCCTATCCAAGAGTCACTTAAATGCCCCTAATGTATTTGACGCTACTGTAATTCCTCCTCCCCCAACTAAATACTTTCCCATGCTGTCTACTCCTATCCCTCTCCATGACTATAGTAAAGGTCAGGGAGTTATGATCACTATCACCGAAATGCTCTCCCACCGAGAGATCTGACACCCAGCCTGGTTCGTTGCCAAGCACCAAATCCAATATGGCCTCCCTTCTAATTGGCCTATCTACATATTGAGTCAGAAATCCTTCCTGGACACACCATCAAAATCTGGTCCGTCCAAACTATTTGCACTTAGGAAGTTCCAGTCAATATTTGGGAAGTTGAAGTCACCCGTGACAACAACCCTATTACTTCTGCACCTTTCCAAAATCTGTCTCCCAATCTGTTCCTCAGTGACTCTGTTGCTACTGGGGGGGTCTATAGAAAACTCCCAATAAAGTGACTGCTCCTTTCCTGTTTCTGACTTCCACCCATACTGACTCAGCAGACAAACCCTCCTCGATGACCTCCCTTTCTGCAGCTGTGATACCATCCCTGATTAGCAATGCCATTCCCCCACCCTATTTCTTTTGAAACATCTAAACCCCAGAACATCTAACAACCATTCTTGCCCCTGTGATATCCAACTCTCCGTAATGGCCACAACATTGTAGCTCCAAGTACTGATCCATGCTCTAAGTTCATCACCCTTATTACTGACACTTCTTGCATCAAAATAGACACACTTCAACCCATCACGCTGGCTGCAACTTTGCCCTATCAACTGTCTATCCTTCCTCACAGACTCTGCATGCTGTATCTGTCTGTACACCAGCTACCCCATCCTCTGATCCATACCTCCGGTTCCCATCCCCCTGCCAAAATAGTTTAAACCCTCCCAAAGAGCTTTAGCAAATCTCCCACCCAGGATGTTGGTGCCCCTCCAGTTCAAGTGCAACCCATCCTTCTTGTACAGGTCCCACCTTCCCCAGAAGGTATCCCAATGATCCACATCTGAAGCCCACCCTTATACACAGCTATGTAGCCACATGTTGAGCTGCACTCGCTCTCTATTCCTAGCCTCACTAGCCCGTGGCACCGATAGTAACCCTGAGATTATTACTCTGCTTGTCCTTCCTTTATAGCTTCCAACCTAACTCCCTATATTCACTTTTCAGGTCCTCATCTCTTTTCCTAGTTATGTCATTGGTATCGATGTGTACCACAACTTCTGGCTGCTCACCCTCCCCCTTAAGAATTCTGTAGACTCGATCCAAGTCATCCCTGACCTTGGCACCCGGAAGGCAACATACCATCCGGGAGTCTCGTCCTGTCTGTTCCTCAAACCGTTGAATTTCCAATCACTATCGCTCTCCTATTCTCCCCCATTCCCTTCTGAGCCTCAGAGCCAGGCTCAGTGCCAGAGACCTGGCTGCTATGGCTTTCCCCTGGTAGGTCCACACACGTACACGCACACGCACACAACAGTATCCAAAGCAGTATACTTATTATTGAGGGGAACGGCCACAGGGGATCCCTGCACTGTCTGCCTATTCCCTTTCCCTCTCCTGATGGTCACCCACACCCAGCTATCTTTATCCTGTAGCTTGGGTGTGACTACCTCCATATAACTCCTCTCTATCACCTCAGCCTCCTGAATGATCCAGAGTTCATCCAGCTCCAGTTCCAGCTCCCTAACACTGTCTGTGAGGAGCTGGAGTTGGGTGCACTTCTTGCAGGTGAAGTCAGCAGGGACACTTGTGGTGACCCTTACCTCCCACATCCTGCAAGAAGAGTTGCTTGAGAAAGATTGGAGTTTAAGGTCCCTAGTTGAACAACTTATCTTGATTTGAAAGTAAACTCACTGGTATGTACTTGAGATAATATTGAGGCTACCAAAACCAAATTCTACAGTGTTGTCAATAGATAAATGGAAAGGCAGCTTGTTCAAAGCATCCAAGCTTTGGGAAGAATAATAGCTCACACACAGGCACTGGGCAGAAACTTCCCATTGACTTAGAACACCCACATTCAGTTAATTATTCAAATACTTAGTGGTGAAAAATAGGCTTTCAGAATGCTTTGGATTAGAAAGTTTAATCAGAGTACTCGAGCTTTCAAAATGCTCCCAAGAGCACACTATGTATTTAAACTTAATTAATGTTGCATTGTGATTCCATTAGAATCAAATACAAATCACAGGATATAATATTGAGCCTGCTGGCTCTTTAGCATTCCAGGTGGTACTGTGCAGCACCTTTCTGTGCATTTCTAATTAACATATTGCAGAAAGAACAGTATGGTATTGGAAAATCTTATCAAATATGCTGAACATCTGACACCTGATGATAGAAACTGAGGTGGTTGCAGTACAGAAGAAATCCGTGGTAATCAGAATCCTTAAGGGTAATAGCTGTTTGAACCCAATAAGTTATTTGCCCTTGCTCTAAGATGCATGTGAAAAGGTGCATGGACATCAGAAAACTATTTCATCAGGAATGAATGTTTAGATTGGTTTGCCCAGGCAAGTGATGAGGTTTGAGGATGTTAATTTTAAGACTTATTAGACTTAAGTGCTGCCTGGTCTGTCTCTCTGTCCCACTCTGTCATTAATTGGCTTTGATATGCATCACTTTCTTGAGCGGTTCTCTTTAACTAGAACTACAACTGATGTGAAATTTTGAATGATGTAGAGATCAATAGCCACAAGCTTAACTGACTTCAGATTAGTTCAGCCACTACTTGGGAATAAAAAGCTTTTAAAAGTATGGTGTTAGTTTAGTCCTGCGTGTGGCTTCTAATTTCATCTGTTTTTATGTCTAATTTAGACAGTAGCACAACGACCTGATGGGTTATTGGCATCCAAACTCCCTACAGAATTCAAGGTAACTCCAGGAGTCATAAGTATGTGCAGGCAAACTGTGTATTGGTACAAGAGCCACGACACATTGGGATGGATTGACCAGTTCTTTCAGTGAGGCGTATTGATGGAAATATTAAAAATAATTAGTTGAGAAGTTTGCTTGCATATGACTAACTTTCTCTGTATTTCACCGAAAATAATTGCTCAATTGTCAATGTTGCAAACACTAATGAACTATTAGGTTCTCTGGAATGTGTCCTTTTTTCCCTTAGCTTCTGATCTTTGACGTTTTTGCAATGAATTTCAACACTCCGTGCTAAATATTGTTAGGTACTGGCTGAATTATATTTTTAAAGTACATTTTAATGCTTTTAAATGGGATTCAGAGGATTTGGAAAGGAACAAAGGGGGATGTTGGTGGAATGAAATTGTCTTTTTGATCTTGGTGGTTTTGGAGCAGAGGAGCAATTCTTCTGAGAGTTTGCCAATCTGAAACCTGCCTGGGCACCTCACCTGCAGGTGTGAGCCAGCTAAATTTTTAATGTGAATGTACCAATATTAAGTGATGTACATGTGCTGAATTAAATTGTACAAATTGACGTCATTTGTCAATCGTAATGCCAGCCATTCTTAGTTTATTTCTCCTACTGTTCTACCAAATGTTAATCAATTGTTTATCACCTAGATCGCCAAACTTGATGCAAAGTAAGTCTGAATTAGCCTTATGTTTCTATTAATGGAAGTTGACAAACTCAACGTTAAATTTACACATTGAAATAGTCTTTAATGTGCAAGGGGTGAGGTAAAAAACACCTACGGGGGCAAATCTAATGTTGAATATTGCTGGTAGGCTCCAGGTGACTAAATGGTAATCTAATATTTGTTGGGAATCCACAATGTGGTTTGTATCCTGTTTAGTATGTGGTGGGTAAGCAGCTACAAATAATAGGAAATGTCTTAATCTGAAATCTGTGGCTTTCTTGACTTGCAGAATATTTTTGGAATGGAACTTCCCTTAAAGGAGTTGGGCTTCTATAGTGTGACTGAGCTTGTTGGTGCCTTGAGTGATACCCTCTATGTGGAGCGTGACTCCGTGAATCAGGATTGGCTAGTCTTTGACATCCGACACCACAAGTTGCTTCAAAGTAAAAGGCTAATAAAGTACTGTGTGTTTCTGTTTAGTCATAAGATAGCCATCTTTCAGCAAAACTAAATCCCAGAAGTTCTTTAAGGATTCCTACGGCTATAGTCATTGTTCTAAATTTGTACAGATTTGTTGTTTTTCATAAATATTTAAATTAATTTTTATTAATTCTTCTCTAACCCTCCTTTTAGCGTAGGCTTTTAGAGCGTAACATTTGAAACTACCCAGGGTTGTTATTAATAGGCTCTTGAAAACATTACAGTGTGACAAGGGGTATGATTTCCCTTCCTATATCTCCTTTGTAGAAGATGTTGGATCTTTTTGTTTGGTATTACCTTTTATATTTGCAGTGTTGATATAGTGATTTAGTGTCATTCTACCAATTGTAAGGCCCCAAAACACATGTCCAGGCAATCTCAGTTTAGTTCCTAGTGGGTCTGTGCCTGTGGCAAAATGTATGGCGCACTGACCTCTACATCGCGGAGGCCAGGCGCCAACTCTCTGACACCTTCTCCTACCGCCCCCTCAATTATGACCTGACCCCTGACCACCAAGCCATCATCTCTCAGACCATTCATAACCTCATCACCTCAGGTGACCTCCCACCCATAGCCTCCAACGTCATCCAACCCGCACTGCCAGTTTTTATCTCCTTCCCAAACTCCACAAACCTGACTGCCCCATTGTCTCTGCCTGCTCCTGCCCCCCATTTCTGAAGAAGGGTCCTGACCTAAAACATTAACTTTTCTGCTCCTCTGATGCTGCCTGGCCTGCTGTGTTCCTCTAGCTCCATACTGTGTTGTCTTTAACACTAGCATTTGCAGTTCTTGCTATCGCTGAGTTAGGAATATTGCCTCAAATTTCTAAATGTGTGGGAAAGAAAAACGGTTAATCACACTGGAATATTTTGTGCTAATCTTAAATTGAAATTCAAGCACATTGTTGGAATGAAAGGGGCGAGCGGTGGGATTGGGTGCTAAGTGGGCTATTGCTGCAGGTTACAAAGAGGATAGTGGGATTGAGACCTCAGACAGATCATAAGAATAGGAATGAATCATTCAGCCCATCTGGCTGCCTGGCTGTTCTAAATCATGTCTGAACATTTCTTGTCACTTGCCTCCACTATCTCAATATCTCTTAATGTCATTCATCTCCAGAAATCTATTGATTGAACTTGCCCCATAATTGACATTCCCCAGCCCTATGAAGTAAAGAAGCCCAAAGATTCAACACCCTCTGAAAGAAGTAGTTAGTCCTCATCTCTGCCCCTTACACTGAGAGTATGGCCTATGATTTTCGAATCACGAGCCAAGGGTAACATCTGTGTCCTTCCTGACATGTCCTGTGAGAGTTTTGTAAAGTTATTGAATGGTGGACAAGGCTTCAAAGGTCAGGTGGCTTTATCTCATTCCTGTGTGCATGATCAGAATTGATTAATGATGATCCATCAGGTTCATCCCATAGTTTTAACATTGTTGCGTCCTCTAGCTCTGTCTGGTCGTCCCTGTTGTAACCTGTAGTCGTGAAGCCTACAATTATGAAATTAAAACAATGTTGGAGAAACTCACCGACCCTGGCAGTGTCAATAGAGAGATATTCAAATATTTCAAGTCCAATATAAATTTTCAAAAAACTCTTGCTGGACTTGAAACGTTAACTCTGTTTTACCTCTCTAAAGATACTGACCAGTCTGATGAATTTCTCCAGCACTTTGTTTTTATTCATATGTAATTCGAATTCATTTGATCTATTCCCCTTTTGGAGCTAAAATATGTTACTTGCTTCTGAGTAACCTTTTCTCCGAGCTAAACCATCTTGGTAGAGCTACTGTTCAATTGTTACCTTTTTTTTAAGGTATTAATTTAGTTTCACTTTGGTACTCACTATGGTATAGGTATAGCATTGCACATACTATTGCAGGTGGGGCTGCATTATTTATAAAACAAAAGATATGAGAGTAGTATTGAAAAATATTTTTAAAATATATTTTATCCTTTTTCTAGAGCAAGCTGAGCTACAACTCAACAAAATCAATTCATTGCTGTCAGCAGACCAGGAAGGGGCAGTTATTGCAGACAGTAGGGAGCCTGAAAGGAATTTGAATCTTAAAACAATTAATGTGGAAACGGTAAAGATTTAAAATCTTTTTCAAATGAAATCTTATCTCAGCTACTTATTATTTTTGTTATTATTATTCAATTTTTAATGCCCTGGCTCTGATCCAAAACTGGGAATTTCTTGCAAGGATTGCAACAAATGCTGTTTGTCCCTGATATTACACCCATTTCTGTTGCCATTTTGGTATTATCAATTAATGTTCAAATATGTTGGCAGCTTACTTAGTAAATGTGGAAATGTTAAATGGATGTAGTAGGTAGAATGACTTGAATGTAAGAGTTATGTAACCAATAATGCCTCAAGGGTGGAGGACTACAAAATGAGTTGGTAGTTGGAAATTTCCATGCAGACTGGGGAGTAGAGGGTAAATAGCACAGTACTGCTTGTCAAAGATTTTTTTTTTTCAAAATTCCATTGAAATTATTCTGTAGAAAGTCTCCACTGTTTCAAATTCTTCTCTTCTCACAGCTGACTTTAGAGAAGAGAGCTGTCAGGAAGAGGGTATGGGACATTCTGAGGAATGCAAGGTGACAACAATGCTGAGATGGTAGAGTCTGAAAAAAAAGCTGCTGGCAGAAAGTCAGAGGGCATGAGGATTCTGCTATCTAATTGCAGTGAAGTGGAGCTTATGTTTATTTTCTCTCTGAGCTGTAATACCCAGCACCAAACATGCGCAGGAAGCTGCTGCTTTTGGGAGATGGGTTAGCTTTTTTTGAAGTGGGGAGGAAGACAGAAACTCAGTCCTCTGCTCGTAAGACTTTTGGCAACAAATTGAAAGCCCAATGAATCTTGGCATCCAGCCCCTTACATGGCTACGTTGGCTGAACATCTACCAGGGTTCAGGCCTTCCATCCGTAAGCACAGCACAGCTGTACATGCTGCACATGACAAATTTGGAAGGGAAGCTGAGGATCTTCCTTCTGCGATGTATATGCGTCATTTGATCCCTCTCCACTGTTCGGTTTATGTGTAACTGTCTGTTGATGGTTCTTCACTTTCGAGGTCTTCTGTTCTTCTTATCACTACAATCTGGCAACATGGTGGCTCATTGGTTAGCATTGCTGCCTTACAGCATCAGGAACTGGGTTCAATTCCAGCCTCAGTCTGTATGGAGTCTGCACATTTTCCCCGTGTCTGCATGGGTTTCCTCCAGGTGCTCCAGTTTCCACCCGCAGTCCAAAGATGTGCAGGTTAGGTGGATTAGCCATGCTAAGTTGCCCTGTAGTGTGCATGGATGTCTAGGCTAGGTGGGTTAGCCATGGGAAATGTGGTGTTACAGGGTTGGGGGTGGGTCTGGGTGGGGATGCTCTTCAGAGAGTCAGTTTGGATCCAATGGGCCGAATAGCCTGTTTCCACACTGTAGGGATTCTATGATTTAGAATGACAAGTAAATGCATGGTAAGCATCACCTGCAGTTACCCTCCAAACCACTTCCCATCCAGTTAAAGATGAACATGTCAGTAGGATAAGGCAAAATCTATGAAAACTGGTCCATGAAATGAAGAGAATAAGCCTTGCTTTACAATTTGTTGTCCTATTATACAGGTTGCAAAGGTATCATATCCACCAGAAATTGAGATTCCACCAGATGCCATACAAGATGGAAATCTCTACAAGCTACCAGAGCTAGAGGAAAATTCCTTTGTCTGTGTGTTTGTAGAAAGCGTGACTTCACCCAGCCAGTTTTATATCCGTTTCTATGGGGATTTCACTTCAATGATGCTCGAAGATCTGATGATTGAGATGAGGTACAGACTTCTTAAAAACCCATTGGGCTAGATTTTGCCACAAAGTTCAGGACTGCGATGTTGAAACCAAAAGGGGGTCTCGAGTCTGTACTTGCCAGCATTGAGGACTGCTCAGCAATTTTTTTGTCATTGGCCATTGCTACTTTGTTGCCTTAATAAGCACAGTGGGCAAGGCCTCTGCTGCAAACCCAATCAGAGAGATGGCAACTTTGGAGCCTCATAGAGAGAAGTGGACACTACTGCAGTAGGATGATTACCACAATGGTGTCTAAACATTTGAGCTGTAAAGCATTGTAAAAGTAAACAATCTAGCCTGGCAAGTCCAGAAAGGATTCTCCTCTTGAGGTTTCATGCTTGTGCCACCATTAATGGAGTGTGGAAACCACTTAACTCTGATAACCCTGCCACTTGCTGCATAGACACCACCTTGGTTAAACTGGTAACCTTCACACGCAGTGGGAGGATTAGCTGGTACTGGCTGTAAGATGCCAGTAAGGCTGCAATAATTACCCTAATTGGTGCTTTCACAAGCTGCTTGCTCCACAGAGACAGGAAGCCATCAACACATGCTTTCATTCTTCTTTTTAATGTTAACCTAAGACAGAAACAGAAAATATAAATTATCCCCTAAACTCCCCATTCTAATGAAAGGTTTATCGTTGACTTTCTGAACCATAATTAAAATGCAAATGTCAATTGCTTTGAGAACTACTGAACAGAGACACCATGATTGGAGAGTTATGTTTTTTTTTAATCTTTTTCCTGTGTAAATCATTGAACAACGTTGCAAAAGGAGTCCGGAATTAAGTTTTGTTTTCTGTCACAGTAGAGATGCACTTAATGCATTAAGTAGTTCTGGTAGATCCTGTGTGACCTTGTTATTTGTTTCCTCTATGTCAACAAGCTTAGGGAATACTGGGTCCAAATCAAGATCAAGACTTTCCTAGTACTTTGACTTTTCACAAAAGTCAAGTTAGAGGGTAAATGGCAATGTACTGAGGTGAGTATAGTGCAAATAAAAACTGAAAGAACTGCAGATGCTGTAAATCGGAAACAAAAACAGAATTTGCTGGAAAAGCTCAGCAGGTTTAGCAGCATCTGTGAAGAAAATTGGCGCTAACGTTTTGGGCCCGGTGACCCTTCCTCAGTCTTGAGGAAGGGTAACCAGACCCAAAACATTAACTTCTTCACAGATGCTGCCAGACCTCCTGAGCTTTTCCAGTAACTTCTGTTTTATTCCTGTTTATAGTGCAAATCTGAATGGGTAACCCTGTCACTCCTGACTGGCAAATACGCATGTTTTACAGGTGAGCAACATATACTAAAACATTAAGGCCACTCCTTTTGCTTTGGGAAAGGGCCAGATAGTCAAACACTTCTTTGCATTTCATGTAGCTGTTTTCCAAGCATTTCCTTCCATTGTTATCTACAGGAAAGGTAAGAGGAGAGCTCAATCTCATTTTAATCCTAACAGAATAGATTCTGGCCTCCTTGTTTGTATATAAGTTCACAGTTAAGTAGATCTTGACTTTGTGGATGCATTTAAAAGTTCAAGCCGAGCAGGACTGGAAATTTCATAAATGATTGTTCTAAACAGACATTGTTGGGCTAGGTATTAATTGTCGTTTTACCTTTTCAGACGTTGCTATTCTTATGAGGAAGTCTCTGAACGTTATGTGATGCCAGATTCATTTATCCAACCAGGACAAGTGTGTTGTGTGCGGAACCCTGATGATGTGTGGTGGTATCGTGTCATTATCCATCGGGTGCTGGATGAAAAACTAGTGGAGGTGTACTATGTTGACTTTGGAGATGTTTCTCCTGTGGAAAGATCTAGACTAAGATTCCTCAAGTAAGCATTTTTTTTTTAGTGTGGTTTTATGTCCTGCATTTGTTTGGGGTTCTGCACATCTCCAGTCTGAATGATGTGAGAAATCCAGTTTTACATTAGAGAATGAAGTTACATGCACAATTTGCAGTCTTGCTGTACTGGCCAGTGAGTGTTCATGTTGAGTATCCAAAGAAACCACTACCTAACATGATCCGTGAGGAGTAGGAACCATTGTTTGTAGGGAACAAAATCAATGGGAAAGTTTTTAATACAAGTCCATAAATCTCCATGTGTAAGAATATACAGATTAGGAGCAGGAGTAGTCTTTTCAGCCCCTCAGACCTGCCTGCCATTTGACAAGGTCATGGCTGATCTGATCATGGCCTGACTCCACATTTCTGCCTAAACCCTAAATACTTTGACTTAGTTTTTGGTAAAACTGGTTCAAGTCTTAAAGTTGTGTCATTGTGATTCAAATAGGTGTAGCTTTGCTTGAACCTGAGCTCAGTGTATGTCTCCAGATACCATGTACTGAAATAACCTTCCATCAATGAATTTGTATAATGTGGGCATGAGATGCATTGGCCATTTGTAAACCATATACAGAGCTTACAAACATGAGTAGTATTTTGTGATCTCAACAGGTTTTTTCAATCTATGTCTTGAAAGCCAAACACCTGTAAAGATTCATAAATATTTTCTCTTGTTTTCCTTAGATGTTGTCATTCAAAGCTTCCCGCCCAAGGGATTCCATCAACACTTATGTGGCTACAACCATCTGAGGTAGAGAAAAGGCCATTGTGATTTGAATCAACTTTGCAGATGTTTTAAAATTGAAACCCACTGAAATTTCTTTTGGACCAGTTACAATGGGCTTTATTTAAAGGCAAAGTTCCAAATTTATGGATCACTGGTTTCATTCCAATTGTACATTTCCATAGCAGATTACGTCAAAATCTACTTTTCTGCTGAAGTTGAAGTCCACTCTCCACCAATTGATAATGCTGGATTGACCATTGTCATTTTCCACGATTATCCGAAATGTTATGATACAATGATCACTATCTTCTAAATGCTCTCCCACTGTCATTTGTCACTTACACACTTATGATGGGAACTGGGAATTTGAGTGGTCTGTGTCCAGATTAATATTTTTGAATATAAATTTGTTTCATCAGTTCATTCACAAGAATACTTTGACTTTGAAGTATATGCTGCGTTTTTGTGGAGAAATACAATTTAGCATTCTCTTTCTGGTATCTTATGTTATTACTTATGAAGGGTTAGCAGATACACTTTTCTAATGATAGGGATATCATTAATGTATAATAAACTATTCTATAGCCTTCAGCTGTAGTGATACTGTGCTCTGAAAGGAAGCACCCCTGTCATTGCAGACTCAATGGGCTGAATGACCTCCTTCTGTTCCCACATCCTATTGTCTTGAATTCTCACCCTCGAATTCAGTAAGTTCTGTTACCTGTGCGTGATTGTACATATACTGGCTGTCTTTTTTTAATCCTTACTTCTGGCCAACTCCTTTTGTAAGTCTCCCCTTTGTTCCTATTTTTGTGTGTCACTTTACTGTCAACGATTGCCTGAACCAGGATGAATGAATAAATGGAGCTCCAACAGGGAGGAACAGTGTGGGTACTGCATCTCTTGGGAGTAGCCTGGGTGGACCCATGTCTTTTTTTTTAAAGAAAGATTCTTAAGTTCTGGAACTAAACATTTTCACTTTTTTTTAATGGTTCGTTTGAACAACATATTTGATAACAAAACCCAATGACTCAAGCTCAAAACTCTCCTTGAATAACGTCACCAAAAAAGTAGTTTATTTCATGCTGTGTGGACAATTGTCTACAATTTCACCATAATCATGACTGCTCTTAATGTGAATGAATTTCAAATTTGAAAGTTAACGTTCTTCCTGCATTAACATTGAATTGTATTTGTGTGTCAGTTTGGTTTATCAATTATTTGCTTTGTTTTTCCTCTTAATATTTTGTCATTCAAATATTTGAAAATCGAATCAATTAAGTCCTTGTTTCAACAGGTTACATTTCTTTGCCCTAAGATGTGACACCTGTGAATTGTGATGCAGCATTTCATTGTAGAGTTTAATTCTCCCTTTTTGACAGGATGATTGGAGCATTGCTGCCAAAAATCAGTTCCTGAGATTCTGTGGAAAACAACCACTGGTGGCACTGATTTGTGGATATGTTGAGGATGTGCTGCATTTATTCCTTTGTGATACTTCTACTGATGAAGATATTTACATTAATGATGTCCTTAAGAAAGCAGGCCATGCCGTACCCTGTCTCTCAAACGATGCCTCTAAGGTACAGTCAAGTGCCAATGTAGCAAGCACATTGCCATTTATTGTCTTCAAATGTTCCAGCTGTTTGAAATGGCCCTTTTTAATTCCACTGATCCATGTGTCATTTTTTTTGTCTGAAATGGTGATCAGTGGGCTTTTTGGATCTTGTTGCTGTTTGTCCTGATGCTGGGGGAGGAAATGAGGCAGCATCCTGGCTCTTATGTGGTATCCTTGCCTCAACATGGCAAATCAGATGTTTTCAGAGAGCAAACAATTTTGCTTGTTTTAAAAAAAAAACAAACTGGAACAAAACATGGGTCATTGTACTCATTTTAAAATTAGTGGACAGAGACAGAAATAAACTTAGAAATTAACGAGCAAGAAAGTCCTTTTTACCAGCTTTCATTATATCTTGGTTGATCTCAAATAAGCTACAGAATGTTTAATTTTTTTCTGGCTTTGGTTTTAGGCATTTGAGGAGTTTAATCCAGCTGCCTTGTATTTGAAATCAAAGCCAGTTTCTGTGAAGGAGATATCATCAAAAGTTAAGGCATGTCCAACAGCTCCACTTGACAGGAAACTCAATTCCAGTACAGCAGAGGAGAGTGACAAAAAATCAGACCTCCCAATATGTGGAGATAACAATGAAGAGGTGAGCTAATCTTCATTGTGTTGTGAAATCTTTAGTTTGACTGTTAAAGTAACAGTCTCTCAAACCAAGTCAAGACCACATGTGTTATTCAGGTTTGCAGGCAGATAGGTAAATGTACCTAGGTAGGGGCGACTGGAGGGACCATGGAGAGAGGATGCTTTTGAGATTAGAGGAGGTGCAAGTGGGGTGAAAAAATAATCTGAAGGCACATGACCAGGCTTGGAACCATATCTGGTGAAATGACCAGAGAAAGAGGAAAAAGTTGGGGAATGGAGGCGAGAGAAATATGAAGAGGAAAGGATTGATTGGCTTTCTGAGAGCTAAGATTCCTCCATGGGAAAGGAAGGGCCTGTGTGTGTGTGTGCTCGCGCACACGCACACACACGCACGCACACGCACACACACACAGGAAATGGAAGAGAAGTTTTCTTCCAGGATGGGTAATTACAAAGGGTATGTTGCGGATGGAATTGAGTGTTTTATAGCAAAAGATTGTCAGAGCGTTGAGTTCAGGAGTTGGGACATAATGTTGTGACTGTACAAGGCATTGGTAAGGCCACTTTTGGAGTACTGCGTATAATTCTGGTTTCTGTGCTATTGGAACAATGTTATTAAATTGGAAAGAGTTCAAAACAAATTGGAGGCTTTGAGTTAAGTGGATAGGCTGGGACTTTTTTCCCCTGGAGTGTTGGAGGCTGAGGGGTGACATTGTAGAGGTTTATAAAATCATGAGGGGCATAGATAAGGTCTCTTCTCCAGGGTTGGGGAGTCCAAAACTAGGAGGCACAGGTTTGGGTGAAAGGGGAAAGATTTAAAGGGGACTTGAGGGGCAATTTCTTCACATAGGGTCATGCACATATGGGATGAGCTGCCAGAGGAAGTGATAGAGGCTAGTACAATTACAACATTTAAAAAATATACAGGTACGTGGATAGGAAGAGTTTAGAGGGATAAGGGCCGAACACAGGCAAATGGGACTGGTTCAGTTTAGGAAACTAGTGAATGACATGAACAAGTTGGACCTAAGGGCCTGTTTCTGTGCTATGACTGTATGATTCAATACGATTGTAAGAGTTCTTTTTTGATATATATAAGGTAAGAGAGACACAAGAGTGGACACTGGGCCCCTGGGAAATCAGGCTGGAGAAGTAATAATGGGGAATAAAGAAATAGCAGAGCAACTGAATAGGTACTTTGCATCAATCTTCACGGTGGAAGACACCAAGGTTCCAGAACCTTGAGGTTCAGGGGTCAGAAGTGAATGTAGTGGCCTTCACTAAGAAGAGGTGCTGGGGAAGCTGAAAGGTCTGAAGATGGATAAATCACCTGGAACGGATGGACTATGATCCAGAGTGCTGAAGGAGATAGCTGAGGAGATTATGGAGGCATTGATGGTGATCTTTCTGGAATCACTAGAGTCAAGGAGGGTTCCAAAGATTTGGAAAATGGACAGTGTAACACCCCTGTTCAAGAAGACCAGGTGGCAGAAGATGGGAAATTTATATGCCAGTTAGCCTGACCTTGGATGTTGGTAAGATTTTAGACTCCATTATTAAGGATGAGATTGCAGAGTACTTGGAATTGTATAGTAAAATATGGTCAAGTCAGCATGGCTGCATCATGAGGATGTAATGCCTGATAAGTCTGTTAGAATTCTAATGCGTAAGTTAGACAAAGGAGAGCCAATGGACATGGTCCACTTGGATTTCCAGAAGGCCTTTGACAAGATTATACACAGGGTCTTATCTTATTTAACAGTCTCCTATGATGTTAGGGGCAAGTAACTGGCATCGATAGGGGATTGGCTGACTGGCAGAAGGCATGGGATAATGGGGTCTTTTTCAGATGGCAGCTGGTGATTAGTGGAGTCCCGCAGGGACCACAACTATACACATTATACATTAATGATTTGGACGAAGGAACTGAAAGGCATTGTTGCTAAGTTTGCAGGTGGCACAGAGGTGGAGGGCCAGGTAGTATTGAGGATGTTGGGAAGCTACAGAAGGACTTGGACAGGCTAATGAGAATTGCCAAAGAATTGGCAGCTGAAATGCAATTTGGGAAAATGTGAGGTTATGCATTTTAGTAGGAAGAATAGAGATGTAGACTCTTTTCTAAGCAAGAAAAGGCTTCAAAACCTGAAGCACAAACGGACTTAAGAGAATCCTGAACTAGGACTGCTATGGTTAACATGCACGTTCAGCTGGCAAATGCAATGCTAGCATGCATTTCAGGTGGATGAGAATACAAGAACGGGGATGTACTGCTGAAGCTGTATAAGGCACTGTCAGACCATTCTTGAAATATTGAGCAGTTTTGGCACCCGTATCTAAGGAAGGATGTGCTGGCATTGGAGGGGGTCCAAAGGAGATTTACAAGAATGATCCTGGGGATGAAGGGCTTGTCATATGAGCAGCGGTTGAGGATTGTGGATCTGTACTTGCTGTAGTTCAGAAGGATGAATGGGAATCTCACTTAAGCTTACAGAATACTAAGAGGCCTGGGTAGAGTGGATATAGAGATGATGTTTCCACTAGTAGGAGAGACTAGGACCCAAGGGAACAGGGTCAGATTGAAGGGACGACCCTTTAAAACTGAGATGAGGAGGAATGTCTTCAGTCAAAGGGTGGTGAATCTGTGGAACTCATTGCCGCAGAAGGCTATGGAGGCCAGGTTACTGACTGCATTTAAGACAGAGATAGGTTCTTGATTAGTAAAGGCTATGGGGAGAAGGCAGGCGAATGGGGTTGAAAAGCGTATTGGCTATCGAATTGATGGTCCAACTGGCTTAATTGTGCTCCTGTATCTTATGGTCTTATACACTTAGACCAGACATGAAATTGAAATTCTGAAATGTTCTGAAATTTCTTCCTGCTCAATTACTGTCCATGGAGTGAAGGGAAACCTAAAGTTGTAACCTACAAATTCCTTTATAACATCTTCAAATAACTCAAAGAAATAAAACTATTCTTACTAATTTTGCAAAGGAAAAATCTGATTTTAAAGCTTAAACAGTGTTTGGATTGTACACCGTAGCAATATAAAATATGCCCAAAATACCTTACACAGTTTCTGCTTTCAACAAGCACATGTACACTGACAAGAAGAAGCTTCTTGTGAGTCTTATAGAAAGGGCTCCTGAAAGGCTTTGAAGGTTTGGGTGAACCATTCAACAACAGGGCCACTGTTTCTAAGCTTGTGACAAGTGGCACTGTGAATGCCCCCAGCCTACCTTGGAGACAGAATGGGAAGAATTCAGTGTGGTTGGGCAAGTTGAATACTTGGCAGATGCCTTATAATGCAAATAACTGTGAGGGTCACCACTATGGTAGTAACGGCAGGAAGAATTAGATTGGGAACAGGAGAGGTGCAAAGAAACCCAGACATCCTCATATACCAGTCACTGCAAGTAAGTGTCCAGGTGCAGCAGTGATGAAAAAGACAAATGATTTGCTGACCTTCATTGTGTGAGAATTCAATACAGGGACAAGGATATCTTGTGACAGTTTTACAGGGCATTGTTAAGACTTCACCTGGAGAATTGTGTGCAGTTTTGGTCTCCATATCTGAGAAATGATGTAATGTCTATGGAGGGAGTGAAAGAAAGATCTACCAGACTGATGTACGAAGAAAGACTGGATTGGTTAGGACTACGTTGACTGGGGTTTAGAAGAATGAATGGGGGATCTCATAGAAACCTATAAAATTCTAACAGGACCAGACAGGGTAAACGCAGCAAAGATCGGTACTGGGTCCACTTTTGTTTGTATTTGTACAAATTATTTGGATGAAAGTATAGGAGGCATGGTTAAAAGGTCTGCCGATGACACCAAAATTGGTGTATGGTGGATAGTGAAGTAGGTTATCTGAGATTACAAAGAGATTTTTATCAGTTGGGTCAGATGGAGTTTAATTTGGATAAATGTGAGATATTGCATTTGGTAAAACAAATAAGGGCAGGAATTATTCAGTTAATGATAGGGCCCTGGGTAGTGGTGTTGAACAGAGAGACTAGGGGTCTAGGTGCATAATTTTTTTTGAAATTTTTGTCACAGGTAGACAGGGTGATTATTTTAGCATGCTTACTTTAGTTGCTCGGATCTTTGCGTATAGGAGTTGGGACATCATTGAGGTTGTACAGGACATTGGTGAGGTCTCATCTGGAGTGCCGTGTGCACTTCTGGTACCATTCTATAGGAAGAATATTATTAAATTGGAGAGGGTTCAGAAAAGATTTACCAGGACGCTGCTGGAACTGGATGGTTTGACACATGGATAGACTTGGACTTTTTTCACTGAAGTGTAGGAAATTCAGGGGTGACCTCATAGAGGTTTATAAAATCACGAGGGGCATAGATAAGGTGAATAGCAAAAGTCTTTTCTCAAGGGTGGGGGAGTTCAAAACTAGGGGGCATGTTTTTAAGATGAGAGGAGAAAGTTTTAAAAAAGGACATGGGATCAACGTTTTTTACACAGTGGTTTGTGTGTGGAATGAACTGCCAGAGGAAGTGGTAGATGCAGGTACAGTTACAGTACTTAAAAGACATTTGGATAAGTACATGAATGGAAAAGTTTTGATAGATACGGGTCAAAGGCAGGCAAGTGGAACTAGTTTAGTTTGGGAACATGGTCAGCATGGACTAGTTGGACTGAAGGGTCTGTTTCTATGCTGGATGACTCTGACTCTGTTCTCCATGACTGAGGAGTCCAAAGACCTGTGGTAGACTGTTTAGGACTGAGATGGGGAGAAATGCCTTCATCCAGAATGTGGTGAGCCTGTGTAATTCTCTACCATAGAAACTGGTTCAGGCCAAAAGAATTGAATGTTTTCAATAAAGAATTTAGATACAGTATTTGCGTCTAAAAGAATCAAAGGGTATGGGGAGAAGGCAGCAAAAGGGTACTGAGGTGGATGGTCAGCCATCATCAAATTGAATGGTGGAGCAGGTTCAAAGCTGAATGACCTTCTGCTTTTATTTTCTGTGTTCTGTGATTCATTGCAAGGCAAGTATGACAGAAGAACATAATGTAAATCCTGCTTTAATACCAGATTTCCTATTCTTGACCTGTAGCATCCCAATGAGAAAATTTCCTTTTCTAGCCACTGACAGAAGTATGCAGATAGAATAACTCATTTCCTCCTCTGAAGGGTTTTGGACAGGAAGAGGAAGTATTTCTAACCACAGATGATTCTACCTGATCACTAAATAGATGGAACAACAAATTTCTCATGACTGCAATACCTTGAAACTAGAAATTAATGATCCATTCCTTTCTAATAACAACACACATACAATTAGGATTTCAAGACAAGGGGGCATATTTTTAAGGTGAGAGGAGAGAGATTTTAAAAAAGACATGAGGGGCAATTTTTGTACAGAGTGGTTCGCGTGTGGAATGAAATTCCTGAGGAAGTGGTGGATGCAGGCACAGTTACGACATCTAAAAGACACTTAGATAATTACATGAGTAAGAAATGTTTGGAGGAATATGGGCCAGGAGCAGGCAGTTGGGACTAGTATAGTTGGGATTATGGTTGGCATGGACTGGTTGGACCAAAGGGTCTGTTTCTGTGCTGTATGATTGTATGACTCTATAACCAATCCATCAGGCCTTGACCTCCGTAATGATCATATGAAAATGATAGACATATTATTCTTTGTCAGCTTTAATAATGGGACACTTTATTCTATAATGTTGACTACTCACCACATTGCCTTAATTACGAATGTCATTCGCCACCCATTACAGTCATGTATAATTCTGTAATCTCACACAGCCTTTAATAGAGTGATAATTTCTTTCACAGGATTTTGAATCAATAACCTATGACTTGCCATATTTGGAGCCATATCCATTTTGCACTGTTACTCCAGTTCAAGACAATTGTAAATCTTTGAAGATGTCTGTATTGGAAGTATCTGAAGAAGTTGAATATAATGAGCTCCCAGCACTAGAGGTGGTGGAGGAGGAAAAGCTAGTATGTATTATCGGAAATCAGAATTGATTACTCTAAATCTGATAATCAACAAAAAACTTGTGTACGCTATTACAAAATGAGCTCAATGTGGTGTGCCAGCAGAGGTAACTGGTTTCTGTTTGTCACAAGGCATTTTACATGCCCAGATGTTTTAAAAAAAACAGATTTTGTAGCACTGAAGCATATTTGCAAATGATGTAAAAAGCATTGTAGAGTTGGAAAAATCTGCTTCTAACATGGTGTTAATAGGTTTCTGCCAGTGGGACAATATTTTATTATTTGCCCAAGATGAATTTCCTAGGTTTGATTATCCCTTTTACTGGTTGTTCTGTCTGTGCTACTCTCACTGACTGTGAAGCTGCTTCTGGTTTGGTAGAAAATCCTGTCCCCCTAGTATTCATGCCACCCGATTCACAAGTCCCAATCTGTTCAACACCAAATCTTTGTTAAAGTAATAATAACAAAGAAAAGGTTATTTTTAATATATTGTTGCTCTAAATCGAAGAATATGACCTCCAATAATTCCATCTCCAAAGTGAGATTGAACTGAGTGAGCAACTTACTACATTTGCAACCATATCAGAAATTATGACACTCAACCTGACATATTTAGCATGAGGTAGATTGTTATTGTACTACTTAGATTTGAGCAGAACATTGCACTTCCCAAAAGTTGATCTCAAAAATTGTTGGTGGAATTAGGTTCCTTAGTTTTCTGTTGGGATGCTGCTTCTAGTTATTTGGATAAGATGAAGGTGCTAGAATTGGGCAGACTTTGAAGACAACGAAGATCATTTGGCTTCACATTCCAAATTCTTCAAATTCAGATGATGCTTTCTGTTTCTAATGCTGAAATATTTTAGATTGAATAATGGTTTCTGCACCTGAAGTGGGGAGTAATGTTATAACTTTGTAATACCAAATATCTCTGGACACACTGGTTCAATCACTGTACTTAATCTTGATGATGTGATCAAAGTTTACCTTGTGTTTGTCTTGTTATTGACTGTGTATATAATTCTAGCAGGAGCTGTGCTGTGAATCATTGAACAGCATGGATCATCTGCAAAATCCAGAGACCAAGTTAAAAACTCAGGATGAGTTCTATATCTCTATAATTGATACTAAGCATTCTGCAGAGTCAGGCAATACAGAAATTCCAAGTGTTTATGACAAGCCTGGTGAGTAGAGCAATGTACTATTGAGATTGGAGAATTGGATATTTCTGAAATGTTTTTTATTTGAGAGATGAAATATACAGGTGTGTATTTTTTTTTAGAATTTAACTATTATTGTATTACCTCCAAGATAGCTGAGCCCCATAGTGTGAAAGAGAGGACTGATCATCAGCAAGATAAAATCGCCACTACTGGATGCTGTGCAATCACATAACATTTTGTAATAATTTTCAACTTCTTCACAATGCGCTTTGCAACTCTCCCAACTTGGCTGAGTTGGTAAAGACACTGGTAAATATGGAAGTGGACCATAATAGACGAGAGAGTGCATGTCAGATGGCTTGTGTGCTGCTGAGTTGTCTGATCTGAACTGGAATTATTAGAACTGGAGTATTAGAGCTTGATTTTGATATGCTTGCAATATAAAGGATAAAAATTGACCCTGAATCCTGTTTCTGTCTGCTATATAATGATGTTGGAAAGTACACATGTATGCAGATGTTGGATAAGATCTGCCTTGGCTTTGGTGATCACGTCAGAGTCACATACAGCACAGATACAGATGCTTTGGTCTAACCAGCCCATGCCGAACATAAACCCAAAATAATCTAGTCCCATCTGCCTGCTCCTGGCCCATATTCCTCCAAACCTTTCCAATTCATAAATTATCCAAATGTCTTTTAAACGTTGTAATTGTACCTGCATATATCACTTCCTCAGGAAGTTCATTCCATATACAAACCACACTCTATAAAATATTTGCTCCTTGTGTCATTTTAAATCTTTCTCCTCTCGCCTTAATGTGTCCCTTAGTCTTGAAATACCCCACCCTAGGGAAAAGACAACTGCCGTTATTCCTACCTGCACCCTCATTATTTTATAAACTTCTATAAGGTCACCTCTCAACCTCCTACACTCATGTGAACAAAGCCCCAGCCTATCCAGCCTTCTTTATAACTCACATGTTCCACATCTTGGGAAATATGGTCTAGATTTGCAATGAGGATCAACCGCTTGGGCTGGGTATTGTAGCACTCTTAGTGACAGTTGAACAATGCTGCCGAATGGTTAGAAAATAGATAAAATGAAAGATTTGTATTTCTGGAGAAAGATTTTACTTTACAAATGGTGTTGTTGCAATAATGTTTTAGATTTTTTCATATTCTATTGAAAATACTTGTCTCAAGAACTGATGGGGCTAGGTTTGCATTTAGTTATGCAGTCCTTAATTTGTAATGTTCAATAATAAATCTCCTCTTTACAGAGAAAGATTGAATTGTGATGAAAGGTTGTTGCTTTTTCAAATAATTTCAAGTTCCTAATGGACTCTTCAAAATATGTAATTTAGTCTGTGTTGGAGAGGCTTTTTTTTCTTGTATCAGTGTCAATTCAAATTTTAATTTGCTTTCCAAGGATGCGGTTGTGGTACTGGTATTTTGTGTAAAACAATGAACTATTGTCCTGTCAAGATAGCTTGAGTTATTTGGGGAAAATATTTGGATGGTGAGCACAAGTTAAAACTGGCATTTTTGTTTTGTGCTGAACTTGGTAAAGTTAGTTGAAATTTACAGCTTATCTTTTCAGGCCGGTTTACAGCTCCTTTTGCGCAGCTCCTGAACAGTAAATGGCTGAACATCCAGTTGAAGAGGACTTTTCTGCACTTATCAATATAACTGCTAATTTGTGTACTGCAGCCCTTGTGTTTGATTGAAGTGCCATATTTGCCATCAGATGAAGTAATTTGATGAACAGTCTGCATCAGCAGGAATAATCTGTGAAACATGACGATAGAGGACTGAGACAGAACTATCCACATTTCGTCTGAGATACTTGAATTATTCATCAATTGCTGTTAACAACTAGGAATTCTTCACATCCTAGATAATCGTTAAGATATCAGTGAAGTTTGAGTACTTTTCCACTGATGGACAAAGTTGCCATTGTATTGTCAATACATGTTACTCTTTTTGGCCTAAAATAAAATAAAAATCCCTCAAGATCGAAGTATTGGACAATGTCATGTGACCAATTTTTGTATTTAGATTAGAACTTTTTTTTAAAATTTGTAAAACATTCGGGATGTTTTAATGCTGTATTTTAATAATCTTGGCTGATCATCCATTTGTTGTTGTTTGTTCGTATTTCAGGTGAAAAATTCAAACCAGAGAATATTCAGCCCTTTGTGAAAACAGATACCAAAAAAGGTAAATATTTGAAATGTTGGGTACAACTGTTTAATTGCACTTTCACTTTGGATTAACTGAGAATCTAACTCCCCTTTGGATATACCTGCTCTTCTGAAAATGTTTTCCATTCCATACAGTCCCCACTCTTGAACAAGTCACTTGACCGACAAGAGAATGAGTTGGAGGATGGGCTGTTCTTTAAGCTGCCTCTCCTGAATAGGAGATAGTAGGAACTGCAGATGCTGGAGAATCCGAGACAACAAGGTGCAGGGCTGGATGAACACAGCAGGCCAAGCAGCA